TGTGCATACTTTATGGAGCTCTTCCCATACTTTACAATCTTTTGTTCGGTCCTGACAAGATGCTTGTCTTCTTCGCCTTGACTTAGGCTCATACTTTTTGGTTGGCACAACTGCTGGTGCTTGCTCGGGCAAAGGAAACGTTTCGTTCCAAATAGGACACACCATTCTAAGCCAATTCATTATCTTTATAAATAGTTTTAATACCATTAGTGTGTTCATTATAATAAATATTTTCATACAAATAAAATTTACCTCTTTCAAATCAGTACTGAATTTATTTTCCACTACTGCCATATCAACTTTATAAGGTTTTTTTGAAGTACACCCATGCTCTTCGGGGCAGGAGTTATAAAGTGGCAGGTGGCTATCCGATTCTATAAATTTTAAGCCCATTACATCGGGACCTCTTTTGAAAGGGCTTTCTTGAAAGTATCCCGGTAGCGTAGGCCTCACCTAGTTAACAAGAAAGAAAAAAAAAAAAAAGAAATGATCCCTGTTGCCCTGAAACCTCTATTATCCCCGCTATTTTATTAGTAAATATTAAATTTTTGAGTTGGGAGGAGTGGGGCGAAATTAATAGCCCAAAGTTTTGAAAAACAGAAATCTGTTCTTCCGGAGTCGAATTGCTGCTAACGGTCACGTTCTCATAGGATGTTATCCCTTCTCTTCTAAATGAACTTTCTAATTCCTTTAAGTGGTTTATTTTCTTCAATTACCCTTAAAATAAGTATAAAGTCTAGACCTCATAATTAATAATTTTTCTCAATCCCGAGCCTTCTACTCGATACAGCACCTTTACCACAGGAGGTGCGCACTCCATGCTTTCTGAAGGAGTATTATTAAATTGATACTGCTTGCTTGCAAAATCAAGCCATTCTTTATGTTGCATTTTATTGTAGAAGAGACGCTCCAATGAACCTATAAATATAAATGCTAAGTATCAAGAAGACTGGTTTATATAACAGCACGTGATAATGCTTACTAACCGCTTAGAGGGTATATAAAAATAGAGGTTTAATATATTTCCCTCGTAACATCCTTACTCGGATTGTAAAATAATATACATTATAACAAATACGTAATGTTTAAGTAATATTACAATTAACAATATTCAGCTAAAGTTAAATAAAACTAAAAAAGCGCATCTTTAGTAGAGTTTACGAAGTTTTTTTTTTAATAATAGTACAATGAAGCAGTTAATGTAGTCTAGGGTAATGTTGTAATCTGAAGGACCTTAAACTAAGTCAAAAGTTATACCCCAATCAAGTTCGACAGCTTTTCGCATGCAGATCCACTTTGCTTTCGTTTTGTTTTGCACTTGTTCGAGTAAATCCTTGGATCGCCACCATGAACTATTATATAATGGACCAGCTACCAACTTTATTAGCCTTTTTAAATGTTCGCTGGCAACTGGAAATTCCTGTCTGGAACTCACGAGGTGATCAAATTTTCCTACTATTATTTTTTAACTTTGTTTTCATTATTTATATATATAACATTGCCTTGTACAACGCTTTCCATAAAACCGGTATCTCTTTGTAGATGGAATAAATTTATTAAGCGATTTATCATATGCCCAAATTGTTCTACTTTTTGGTGGGTGTTCCACCAATAGGTACTTCCTTCTAACCAATAAAGGTTTTTATTGGTAACGTCTTCTTCCCTCCAAATTTTATACTCGTAGTCTTTGTTGGCTGCTAAACTTTTACATGACGCCTCTAGACCTAAAAAATTAGTATATTTCACCAAAAATTTGTTATACATTGCATTTTATAGCTCTTATCTAGCTAATAACAACAAAATTATTATATTATTAACCAACATCCTCACAAGATACATTATCTTTAGTTATAGTTGAAGCTGTCTCCAACTCAAACTGAGGGCAGCATAACTGCAATTGAGATAAATTATTCTCGTCCGCACCAATAAGACGCACTTTATCAGTCGTAACACATATATTTGGATGAATATGAAAGGTGGCGTTATAATGGGTTATAAACGTTCCTTTTAGTTAAAAAAAATTCAAAATAAAACATAAAAACGAGATCAAGAGGCAATTGTAACCTGAGTTGTAAAATAGCTGGCTATAAATGTTTCCGTTAGTAAATAGTTGAGGTAATTGATCGTCTGTGTTGAAGAAGTATGTTAAAAATATTAGCGATAGACATTTTATAATAATAATATTTAGTATTTAGTCTCTCTATGTGCACCTTGATCAGTCGTATTTTTTATATACTCCTCGCTATCCGTTTGATTAGTAATGCTTTCATTAAAACTACAATTCGTGAATATAACAACCCCTAAAGTAACTAATACGCCGAACCTTAGCATTTATTATAAAAACTTTTACACTAACATTTGACTTCCCCTTTAAAAATATCTTTTCTTTTATATTTTTCTACAAATGGAAATAACTTTAATATATTTTATTTTAACCTTATTGAGACAAAGATATGGTAGCATAATTTAATGTTTGGTTAAATTACTAAAAAACAATAATAAAATACACTTATAGTGTTATAAAGAGCGTGTGAGCCATTGCTAAGAGTGCTATCCTTCTGGCCTACTATTTCGAAAAAAAACGCTACAGTTAATTTATTATAAGAAGTTGTGTAAATTGATATATTAGAAGTATCGAATGATGACTTATTTAAAGAAGCTTTTTGTGGTCAGCACCTGAAAAACTTTAAATAACCAAGCAAAGAGCAGTACAATATATAAATGCGGAGGGCCCCTTTATTTTTTTTAATTTATAAATTGTATCAATACAATAAATTATCATTGACGCTTAATTTACTTTATATTTTAAATTAGGTTTTGACACCCTTTACAAAACAATTATATATACGATCCAACCAGTAGAAGACCCAATAGCAACTAAATATAAAGTTATAAAAAAAGTACAATTAAACACAGTTTTAAACACAACTTTAATCACTCAAAAGTTCGCTGTTTTTATGTGCTTATAAAAATTTTAATGAATTTAGTAGCCCTCCAAGTCTACTTTTTTTTGACTATAAAAACGCTTATTAATATTATAAAAATAGGTTTTATTAACCATTCTTGTATTTACAAGGTATAAATATTTATATCTAATATATACCATATGAGTGACTTTAAGACCGTAAATAGTATTCTTTAATAATAACTTACTACGCTTACTTGCGCGCTAAAGAGGGACAACAAACATCGAAAAAACTGCGGAATGATATGAGTTGGGCCAAACTTTGCACCCCCTTCCATAGTACGTGCGGTTAAATTGTAGCAAGAAACTTCGAATTTCTTTTACTGAAGAGCTTTAAGCCAGCACCAGAGTTTATGTTTTTATACGTGTTAACATACTTTACGTACTTCTTTATATTATCAATTTTATTAGTATGTTAACAAAGGAAAAAATTAGTCATCAAAAGTTAAATTGGTAAATGCTAAGGCTAGATTAAAAATTACCAAAAGGTATAAACGTAAATTTGGAATTAAAAATTAACATAATAGCAAAAGATTGTAGAGAGCTTTTCTGCGGGTTCTTTACGGTTAGTTCGTAAATGTATTATGAATGTGAGTATAGTTTCTCTTACGACATTTATTATTAACACAACTTGGGTTCACATTAACAATCTTGGATAGTTAAAAAGACTTGCTTGTTTAGATACGAAAGGGTCAAAAATAATTAAGAAAATAATATCAATATGTTTTGAAATGAAAAGAAGACCAAAGAACTTCAACTACTTTAATTTAACCCAAAATATTTTTGCTTTTTTTTCTAATTTACTTTTAAAGGGGAATCAATATAAGTGGAAATTTTTTTTAAATAAACATTTTTTTGCGCTAAATAATTAACTATTTGATATAAAAACTCTACAAGTAGCTTAAATTTGCGAGAAGTTCAAATAATATAATACAATGTTCACTTTTATTCGTTTATATAATTCTGGACTTACTCAAAATGCTTGGCTACAATTTAAGTTCTGTGACGCCCTTGACTTTGGCCCTCCTTTTTCGTTATAATCCCGGTCAGGGGCCCCACCATTTGTTAACTTTGATAACGACCTTTCTGTTTCATACTCAGGTTAGCTTTGGTGCATTTGTATACGTTTTTAGTATCTTAAAGAATAATGTTTTACGTACATATAATACTTTTATATAACTGTTCCATAATAGGTGAGAATGTGCTTGCCTTGTAAAACTGATTTTGACAATAACAATGAACATTGTGGGCGTTCACATATGAATTGCTATCAATATTTGCATTCTTCCCTTTCTGGGTCTTTGTTTAATAAAATAGAAAATTCTGATTATGAGCAATCTTTAAACACTGCTGCAGGGTCTTTAGTGCAACATCATTTAGATGCCGAGCCGTTGATACTTTCTTCTAATTTAAGGTCTTCTGCATTTAGTGAAAATTACAAACATTATAATTACAATCGTTTTAACAATATCTGTAGCCCTAGATCCAGCAAATATCAAAGAAGATTTGTTCCTGTTTGCCCTAATAATAAAGTTATATCCAGTCACAACCCATACGGTAGTAACATTAACAGTATAAGTACTACTTGTATCAAAAACTTTCGCAATAGTTTAAAAACTCCCGATATTTTTTACGATACAGAATTAAGAAGAAAAAATATTGAAGATGTCAATATAGCTCTAGAAACTATTAAGTCAGGGAGTGTTTCACTTGATAACCTCACCCAAACACCTGCCAAAGATGTTTTTTTTGGCTCTGATAATAATCTTTTAACTTTTCTTGGCAGTCAAATTAAAGATATTTGTTATAATAATGTTAATAATGTCAACTTGAGCATAAATGAAGAAATAAGTGAAGAAAGAAGTACTTCTCTCAAGTCACACGGAAAAAGAAAAAGGTTTAAAAAGAAAGCTAGCGACATGAAACCCGAGGAATTAGCCCATGTTAGGGCTTGCAACCGAAACAGTGCAAGGAAAAGTAGAGAAAAGAAAAGATTAAGAGAGCTTGCCCTGCAACATTTATGCGAAAAACAAATTTTGTTATTGAAAGCACAGGAGAATAAGATTATAGACTTGGAAGCAACGGTCGAGAGTCTTTTTAAAAAATTTAATCTATCAAGCAAAGATTTCAAGGCTCCGGGCAATGTTGGCCGCTTTAAAGAAAGTCAATGCATGAAAAAGGTGGGAGTTGACAGGGAACCATTTAACCATTTTAAATTTGAGGAACACTGTAATAAAAAGTCGGAAGAAAAACTAAAAATTAATAACGATAACTACCAGTATAACAATGCTGGTAACCACGAGGTTGCTAGCAGTAATAAAACTGATAAGGGGATTACTATAGAAACAAAAGTTAGCATAAATAGTGATCTTCAAAGTGACTTTGTTAGCCTAAAAGATCTTCAAAATAATGAATCGTATGGATCTGAAGGAATGGGAGTATATGCAAATAAAAAGCCCTTTGACGACAATGAAATGCTAGACTTGTTAACTAGTATTTACATGCCTGTTAGTTGGATCCCTTTTATGGACTAAACATTAAAACGGTAAAAAAAACGACCAGAGTTGGCAATTTTATATATATGTATTTCTATTTTTAGGTTTATGTATACCTACTATCCAATTTAAATAACTAATTATTTTAGTTACAATAAAAAGTTAAACAAAAGTTTATAGATAAGATTAATAGAAATAAAAATTATTGTAACTTTTACATAATTTAATTAATTTTTAATAACTAAAAACGTTAAAATTAATAAAGGTACTTTCCCTACTTTTTCTGTAAAATGCTTGAAATAAAGTAGCTCATAGTATATCGCGTAAAGCCTCTTGCTCTACAGTTCACAGTGTAATGATAAAAACAGCCAAGGAGACTCCTTTTTGTTCCAACTCATATATATGTATATTTAAACTTGCTGAAACACTTAATTCTTTACCTGCATCTAAAATTTTTAGCTGAAGTAAATACTACTATACGTGTCCAACATAAAACTACTGAGCTAAAACTTACAAATATAAAAACCTTTATAAAAAACTTTGTTTGATGTTATCAATAAGTTTTTTCAAAATATTTTAAGTCTGCTCATTAAATATTTTAATTTCCTACTTGAAGAGTTCCAAAATACCGCAATCCCGCAGACAACAAATAAAACGCCCTTTAAAATTGCTTCCCAAACCTTGAGCATGCACAGTCTTTAACGTCACGCATTATAAGTTAAAAGTGTTCATTTAGTATACACTTGGCTCGCGAGTATAGTAGGTTGTCAGGAAGTGATACATGATCTAAGTGGCGGTGCCAGGTTAACTATATCATAAGTCAAGCAAAAAACAGCAATAGCAAGAGTATATTTAATTTTACAGGAAATAATTCTTATATATCCTAATTATAATTTAGACTTGCTAAAAATTCGATTTCGATTTCTGTTGTATTAATTTTTTTTTTACGTCTAATTTATTTATTAGGAGAAGGGGTGCGTATACTTTTTAGTTTGTTATCAATTTAATTTATGCAAGGTTTGGGGGAAGCAGTATAGAATTTATTGACGTAAAATAGTTCTACAGTTAAGTAGAGATGTTAAAAATTTTTGTCATTTGCTCTATACTTGTCGGACAAACCAGGCCCGAAATTACGGATCGCGGTATACCGCTTTAGTAACTTTGAAACAAACGCAAACATATGTTACTGCTCAATTACAAAATGATCTGCTAAAGATCCAAGCTATTCTCGAGTCAAAAGACAAGATTCAATTAAAATGCTATAATGCCTTAAAAGCAGCTATCCTTTTAAACGGAAATCCAATACTAAAGGGTATAAATCCATAAGCATATTCAAGGCGCCAGCAGGTTAACTACCTCATCAACACTGTTAGCGGCTAAAAAACTTTCTTATCTTAGAAGTAGTACGGAGCAAAAATTAAAAATTCTCTAAAAATAATAAATAAGTCATAGAGCGGTCGTATGATAGTCATCTAAACATAAAGCGGACTCAAGCGATACGAAAGTGATTGTGGCAACTAAATACAGAAGCTATTTGCGAGATGCTCAAATGGAATGAGTCGAAAAGTTGAGGACGCTCTCTTATTATTATCAACACAGCAATAAAAAGCTATGAAATATACTTGACTCCTTAAATGAATTATTCGCTCAAAACAATATTATTTTTTATTCCTTATATTTATGTTTATACATATAATTTATTAATAAGCATATAAACTATACATTTTATTTCTGTTTCGTACATTAAGGTATATTCTATAACACAAGTGTTTACCTTCTAATTGCCTAAAAGTAAAAAACTTCATACTTGCTTCACAAATTAAACTAAGCAGAATTCTCATCTCTCATAAGAGCCCGGTCGTAATATGCCAACTTTGTTATTAATTAAATAAAAAATATATATACCGTAGTTATTTACTATAGCAACTAATAATATTTAATTAGATACTTCAGCTAGCATCTTCGACTGTTCCGAAAAATTAAGATGCTAGCCTGCTATTATCTGCAAAACTAAACTGAATATCAACTTAAAAAAATTAAAGCTTCGCTTTAAAAGTTTTTATTAACGTAAAATCTTTATTATTTTTTTAATTCTGTAAAAACCATAAACGTTAAGACATTGAATAATTAAAATAGTTTAATAATAAAAAATAACTCGCAAACGTCTAATTACTCTTCAAACAATTCCGCATATAAACCTGAACAGTCTAGAGACTCGTGCTGTAAAAAAATTTCCAGCTCTAAAAATTAAAAAAAATAGTTTAGGCGTCCTAAAAAAAATATATAACTAAAGTAAACAACAGGTTTTAGCCAAACTCAAAAGAGACTAAACACAGTTTTTTAAGATCTTAACACAAGCGTAACCTATTTAAAATATTAGGAGTAAAAAGTTACAAGAAAAAAAAAAGACGAGATAAAAAATCAATAAAAACACAAATATAACTACCTATAAATTGGAAAAAGGCTTCTGCTTTACATGTGGCCCAAATATGAAGTAAGACGGCCAAATAAGTATCTGTTAATGAATAACAAAAATATAAATTTATTTAATAACTTAAAAATAAGTTCAAGTAAAATTACTAAAAAAAACTGACAGAATAAGGTAAATGAATTATGCGTTACCAAAAATCGTATTAGAATAAAAAATTTTATAAAGCTACTTAGAATAGAGAAATGTCTGCAAGCTACTATCAGAAAACTATCCACGGTACTGGAAGCTGTCAGCGAAACTCGCAATAACTTTAAAAAATTAATTTCCGCCCTCAATGAAACAAACGCAGCATTAGCATAAATAAAGCGAGCGTTTGAGATTAACAGAAGGGCAGCGAAAAAGTAAAAAATAAAAGGTGCAAAAAAACGGAGAACCGCGAGAACCAAAAAAGCGCCAGCCACAAAGGAAACAGAAAATTTTTTTAATTAGTACATAAAGGAAAGGAGCACGTGGTAGCTCTTGCGTGCATTATTTATTGACCATTTAAAAAAAATAAATATGCCACCACAAAACATTGGAGTAACGTAGATTAAAAAACTTGTAATTTTACTTGTAACGTCTGTACGCCTGTAGCGTGGCATTGCAATAATACAATAATTACGTTTTTTGTTTTTCTCTCTTTAACTTTTTATTTTGTGTATCTATCTTAGATTATACTGGTTTTTCTTTAGACTTTGTTTAAAAGGACTGTAAAACGTAATTACAGCTTGAACGGTGCATAATTGAAATCGTTGCTATTATAGTAAGTATCAGATTTACTTTAGTGTTGACTTAAAATTTAGAACGTGTAAATTACTCTTCTGATATGTAGGATATACGTCATAATAGGCTCAGAGTTCTATTATAATAGCCTACTAGGAAACAAAGGGTTGTTATATTTATAATTATTGACTAAGCGAAAGCCACCCTGGGATGAATTTAAGTTTAAAGAAATTTATATTTCACTGGTCGAAAATTTTTTAGCTCTAGTAATTAATTTAGGCGGTGTCTAATATAATACGATATAGAAAACTCTAGAGGTGACCTTGCCAATTGCGACCCAGTTTTTCTCTGTCGGAATTTTTTTGCGAGCAATTAGGTCTTTCATCAGGCTAAAATTTATATTACCGCGAGGCGCCTTTTTTTCAATTTTCTTTATTATTAATGTTTTTTGAAAATAAACTTATCCAAATTCATACATGTATATATACACGCAACTCAATTTATATTTTATTGTACTCTTAAACCAGCCTCATTTTTTATAAAATTATTTATTAATTAATAATATTAAACCTATTACTTAACAAATGATAAAAAGTTTTTATAAGGATAATTACTGAAAAATAATAAATTTTGACTAAAATATGATGATAAAGTTTTTATAAAAAACTATTAATAAACAATAATAATTAATTAATAATTGTAAAACTGACCGGAGCTCTAAAAGATCTATTTATCGCCTCTCTTAAGTCAAGCTCGGTTAAGGCATTCAGTTTTACGTAGACCCTCTTCATCGGCACGGTGGCTTCTTTTTAAAACAGTTTCTAAAGATTCAAATAGTTATAGTGCTGGGCGGTTAGAGGGGAGCTTCACGTTCTAGCTTTTCATAGCCTTAGAGCGTAGTAAAAAAATTATATATAGAAAGTGCAGTGTACGCCAGCTATCATGCCTTATAGAAAAAGTACACAACACTACATATTTTATTTCCAGGCTTGACACAGTTATAATAATAGGTGTAATAGTTGTGGTTATTACCAAGTGAACGGCGCTAATATTAACATAGTTCGCGATGGTTATGTTAATTATAATTTTTAAACCTGTAAGAGAGTGTCCTTACTACCAATTAATAAAAGGTAAAGAACATAACAGAGATTATTTGTCGGAATACTCCAATAAGAGGAGATAATTAAGAGTTATCAAGAGAGTATGGGACTGGCAAAGGTGTATTTAAAATAGCACGCATACGCTAAGTTTCTGAAATGGAGACCTAAGTCAACGATCCTGTGTACATAGAGCTATAAGGCTACGTCAACCGGAGTCTTCAGTCCTTTGATGTCGGCGCAAGCTAACTTATCTTGCTTTCCCTTAAGTGTTACGTTAAAGACGCTACAGTTCATCACTGACAACTACGCGTATTAGAGCTAGAAATAACAAACCTAAAACTTTAAATATTTTAAAACCACACTTAATGAAAAACAGTTAGAAGACCAACAGGGCTTAAACCTAAATTAAAAATAATTTGAAAAGTAAATTTTAGGGACTGAATGTAAAAATATAATAAGGCTGAAGATGCTTACATCCATTGGTAAGGCGTAGCTTTCAATATTATGCTCTGGCTTAAGTCTTTACTGAACTAGAAATCATCCTAACGGTCGTTAGTAAAATAGAAAACATCAATTCTTTTTACAAAAAGAACTTACTTGACTTCAAACAATACATGCATTACATTTTATTTGTGTTAGAGAAGCAAACACGGTAATTGTCAACTTAATTTACTTTTTACTTCAATAGATTAAAAGACGTGAATTGAATCTTTAAAGACGTACCATTAGGAATTTACTTAACTCAAGTGGTGGCCTAAACCTATTCAAGACAGACGACTATAACACCTCTTTTCCGTCATTCCTGCGCTTTGTAGCATTACCCAAAAACTACACAAACACGAAATATAATATTTTCTTTTAAATGCTATATTACATTTTGCTTGAAGCCGACCCACCATCTTTTAATGAGTTTTTCTTTTCCATGTTCGTGGATGCTCGGTAAGTCAAGAGCAGAGCGCTAAGACTTAACGCCCGAATACCCCTCTTAAGATTACCACAACTGCCCTGCAGGACTTGGGAGTGTGCCCATCCGTTCTGAGCTCCTGCCAATCGGAGCAGGGAAGTGGAAAACTATTTAACAAATTTAACAATTAATACAGAGAGAGCGACCGCGAGTACTAGACCCAGGTTTTCATCGGCCCACATTACTGCCATTCAGGCTTCTGCGATTACGAACTCTACTCAGAGATGTGTCCTTATAGTGAGCTTTCTTACTAAATTGATGTATAAATACTATGACCTGAAGAACCATTTTTTTCGTTAACCACTAGAAAGCGTAGCGATCTATGGTAAATCGTCAAAGTATAGTTTAGAGTGCATCTTGGATGATACTTTGCTTCGCCTTTAGTTCTATAAAATTAGCTAGATTCCCGAGAACTTATAAATTGTATATATTAACATTTCTTTGCGTGTTCTTTTTTTAGACTAGTGTAAGGTACGCAATATTAACATCATTTAGCAGTGTATTCCAAATATTTTTATTGTGCATAACACTTTCTTTCTATAATAACTACTTCTTTTTTGTAATTGCGGTTGTTATTACCCGAAAAAAGAGTTTAATTATTATCTCAATTCACAAGTAATTTTTTAAAAACAAGGAAAGATTTAGTAAAGAAAAAATTAACTAACGTTCTGGTCTTAAAGTAAATGATCTAAGAACACTAGGAAGACTACTAAACGGCAGGTTATGAGTAGAACAAAGTAGCTAAGGAGACTTTTCACAGAAAAATCATGGTAGCCTGCTTACTAGAATTATCGGAATTTTGTTTGAAGGGGAGTTGTACGCGTAACTATCAAACCAGAAAAATGCAAGTTATCACCGACGGGAGTTGAACCCGCGACCTTGAAGCTTCGCGGCAAGCGCCCTAACCACTGAGGTACGGTGGCAACCCACATATCCGGTCGATAAGTTACGCATATAACTTTTGTTAAAAATAATTTGTTAGGGTATTTAAACTTTTAAACACTGGTATCAAACCTTTACTTGCTGGTATTTCAACCTTTAAGTCCTCCTAAGCACACACGTAGGAACGCAAGCAAAAAAAAACGATAACAAAATTGAACTTGACCTCGACTTTTTTTTTTAGCACTGGCATCAACTATGGCTGGTTTTCTTACTAAGGCCTTAATCTGAATTCCCCTTTTCTGCAGGGGTTGAAGCACGAGTGCCTACCAGTGCATGCTCTTTATAGAGCTACAATGAATGACTGTCCGGAAGGACTGAAAAAGCGGAAAATATCGGGCCAGACCTCCCGCCATTCGACCTGGTGGAGTGGAAAACCGCTATAAACCACAGAGAGAAGCAACCTTAGGCACAAGACCAGAAGCCGCCTTGGACACCGGCCAGTCAGGCCTCCGATTTGAACGGGACCTCAACGATTTTTATTGATAATTTAAACTGTTATATATAACGTTAAAATGGTTAAATAATCTAAGCGTAAACATAAATATGTATGCGTTTCTAAATTCTTAAACTAATCTAGTACTTAACACATTTTTTTAACTCTTTTGTACAAATTAAACATAATGATTTCTGGCGCTATAAAAGTGATATAAAAAATTTATACGAAAATGGTGTTTTAAAATCTTGGTATAAAAAATTATTGATTTGTTTAGATTCTTAAAATAATTTTTGGTTTTTATCATGGTGGGTAATAAGCAACGATCATTAAAAAAATCGGTTTTCTTGCTCTATAACTCTCACATTATGAACTTAGTTTTCTTTTCCGACACCGACGGGCCCTGTACTAAAGGACTTCAGCACAAGTAAAATTTTTAAATTTTTAAGGGCTTGGGTTGTACTGCAAGCCTTAAGCTTAAAGAGCGTTGAAAAACCGAGAAGTGAACACAGAGATAAAACCAAGGTCTTCCGAGAAAGATCTACATTGCTTACCATACTGGCATCACCGACACTTCATACCACTCTTAAAACTTTTCTTAATTTTACGTCATTAATTTGGAATATAAACTCAAAGATTTCGTTTAAGAAGTCAAACGCCATAATATATTTTCATAGTATGTCTTTTTGGTTGAGAATCATGCAACCAGTATTTGATCAGAGTAGTCAATCGAAATTTACAGAATATCATAACTAATGCTTTATTTATTTAGCTTTAAAAATGCCTTACGCAACCTACTTCACTATTTTATAAAATTTTAGCCCTAAATCTTTAATCATTAATATTCAAACTTCTCCGCTTGAGATCACCATAAATTGAAGGGAGGCCCCACTTCTGGTTGGTAAAAAAACCCAACTTTAAAAAAATTGTTTTGTATGTGCTCGCGATGCATTGGATGAAAGAAAAATTTAATAAAACTTAGTTACCTAATTAGCAATTAAAGTCGTTACTAAATTAGCAAAAATACTTTATACTGTTTTATTTTTGTAAAAGGGCCCAATATTTTATATGGAGCAGATAACTAGCACAGCCCTTAATATTACTTGCTAAGCGCAGTTTCGCCTCTGTACTGTCTATGCTTATGTGTATATACATAAAGTAGTGGTAAAAATTCTTTTTATAATGAATAGTTATTTAAGAACAATTTTTCCTTCACTAACACTGTCTCGTCCGCGCTATCTTTAAACTTCGTTAGTACTGTCTGTAATTATCTCCCAACTATTGGCCTTTACTACTCTGTAAAATGGCATAACTTCAGAGTAATTAGCTGGAAACCCATTCATTTGATGGAAAATCTTGTTGAATAACAGAAAATTTTCTTACATTCTTATATTCCTTAAATGGTAAATAATTTCTAATTAAAATACTTGCTATAAGTATTTACCAATAATAATTGTGTTAAACTATAAAATCTATATTAGGAAATTGAAGTAGACTTAGCACGAATAAAAAGCTTGGACTTCATCTTGATAACCACAAATTTATTCAAGTTTATTAGATACTCCTTCACGAGTTACTGCGGGACCCCCTCCATAAATAGCTTAAAAAAAATGAAAACATAAGTCCATTAATAGTTAACGTTGCTATAAAGTTGTAGGTGCTATAATTCTGTTAAGAAATTATAATCTCTTGTTGAGAGCTATGAGCGATGACATTAAATATTATCACATAAATCCTTTGGTAAGTTGAGTGTAAGGGTAATTTCAAAATTCAACAGAAATGAAAACTACATAGTAAGCTTATTCAATCTAATTTTAAAATATGTAGGATTGTAAAATATCTCCAGGCTGTACTCCATGGATTGAAAGTTTTTTAGAACCCGGTAACATATTAACATTGATTTTTCATCTCTGCTTCGTGCCCCACTTTATAAAAGATACAGTTTAACCTAATGTTTAAAATTCTTGCTTTTCAAAGGTCTAATTGCATTATACTCTTACTGGGGTGCTGTGATTGTTACTCTTTTGTTTTTCGCAGGTATTAAGTAGGAAAATAATTATCTTAAAAATATTCTAAATTGTACTTTTTTCTTTTTTTGGACAAATATTTTAAGTATGGAGAAAAAGAAAAGAAATATCTTTGAATGTTGTTCCTGTTGGAATTGGCAGAAGACAACCTACTCTATCTGAGACTTACCCATCTTCTACTTTTCGGGCTGGTTTCGATAAAATTGGCGAAGATACGCAGGCTGTTATGAGTGATTCTGATTCAGCAGAGGAAAGCTGCAATCGAAAAGTTTTATATATCAGCAAAAAAAAATTATCAAAAATCTCTAATTATTTTAAATATCACTTAGGATTCAGATAAAAATAAGATGGATGAAAAACAAAAACTGATTTTAAAAGCCATTAATATAAAGGTACTTTAAATAATGGTTAACATGAATTATCTTTATGATACTAATAAACATGATTTTAGGGCACAAAATTTTATCATAGTGATCTACAGTTGAGAGGTTTTAAAAATAATTTATTTGGGAATATTTGTTATTATATGGCCTTAAGCATTTCACTGTTGTGGGTCGCCTTGCTGATCCTTAATTTGGTGGATTTTTACCACAATTGTAGTATTACTGGAATAGATGACTTGTGTTTTTATGGTGACTTTTTTATATTTGGAAATTTCGAAGTCAATTCTGTAGTCTTTTTTATACTTTGGCTCGCTTCAACAATATGGTATTCAACGTGGCTAGTGTTCCAAGATGAGGTATTTTATTTAATGTAGAATGCGTATAAATATCTTTTACCCACAAATAATATAATTTATATAATTTTTACTTATTACTATTTTACAAAAAAAAGTATATTATTATAAAATTTATTATAAATTCCTACAGGTTCAAAATTGGTTCAGATTACCTTGTGTACCGAAAAGAGCAGATTATATATGGATTTGGGTTCATGATGACGAAGAATTACTGAGCTCAAGTTCTTTTAAAGCTGTTAAACTTTTAAGAAATTTAAAAAAATTACTTCGAATTGAAGGGCCTCCTGGTCGGACCACCACCGTAGAGGTTAATTCTAAAAGTTCACTAACTATATATTATTATTACCTTTATTTTCCTTTCAGGTGCGCAACATTGTAACTACTGCTGGTGAATCTTTTCGCTACTTTAATCACGAAGGCTCTCGCTTTGTTTTAAAAGACGATCAGTTTGAAGCACCTTCTATAAAACTTGGAACGATGTATTCCGAGTTTCACTTATTAAAATCAGGGTTACCTTCAGCAGTGGCCCTTGAGCGCTACGAGTATATTGGGCCCAATATAATACCTTTTAGCGTAGATTCAGTTCCTACTCTTATAATAAACGAGTTTTTTACTTGGTTCTATTTCTATCAGTGGGTCATGTACACTGTTTGGTAAGTGTATTTCATTTTAGGTTTGTGAAGTATATTCGTCAATATTATTCTTTATATCCAAGGTTTTGGTTTAGCTACTTATTCGTAGCTGCTGCAGAGGCAAGTGTAGTTCTTTTAAGTGCAGTAGCTAATATTATAGTTTCCTGGTCGAATCAAAGAACAGTTTCCAAGCTTACAGACTGCCACTCAGAAGTAGAGGTTTGTGAACTCTAGTTTTAACTTCTACTGACCCTACAGAATTTTCTCCTCGAAAGGTCCTGCGAAGTGGCAAATGGCTCTCGGTGTCGACTACTAAACTCGTTCCTAGCGATATTATAGCGATTACTACCGGGCTGAAATTGCCTTGCGATTTAGTGTTATTAGACGGTTCCGCTGTGTGCAATGAAAGTGCTTTAACAGGAGAGAGTATGCCCGTCCAGAAAGTGCAGGTAACTTGTCGTAGTTGTATTAATTATATATACAGTTAATTTCCGTTTGAGTGCCCAAACGAAAACCGTGTCTATGATAGCTTGCAGTCTGGAAGCCGTTTTACTCTTTTCGCCGGGACCACTGTCCTGCAGGCGCCCTTATATTTTGCTTTCACTCTTTAAGTATTCAAAAATTCTTATAAGGCTAAAGCGTCTGAGGATAACAAACCAGTACTGGCTGTTGTAACCAGTACAGGAATTAATACCTCTAAAGGTTTTTTTTACTCTGTGGATGAATGTTTGCTAACCGTCGAATTTTCATCTAAAATATATATAATTAGGGGACTTGGTATCAAGTATTCTTTACCCCCAGAAAATTTCATTTAAGTACGACGAAGAATTTGGAGTGGTTGTTTGTATCCTTTTGTGCTATGGCTGTGTCGTATTTGTACTCGCCATTATATTTCAGAATCGCTCAGGACTTAAAGTTAAATAACTCGCCTATATTTTATTCATTTATTAACTTTAGCTATAGAAGCTTACTTTTAAATTGCCTATTCTCAGGGAAACTGGGTGACCAAGTGGGCCTACGGCATTTTCACTATCAGTCAAGTGCTAACTCCGCTTCTTCCTGTAGCTTTAAAAGTTGGGCAGATAAGATCATGTCAAAGGCTTAAAAAGTTAGGTGTTATTACCGTCAATCCTTCACGCATTGCAATTTGGTGAAAAAGTTATAATTAATAACTTTTATATGTAGTAACTTCATAAACTTTAGTGGTAAAATAAAATGCTTTTGTTTTGATAAAACCGGAACACTAACTGTGGAAGGTTTAACTTTTTTGGGCGTTAAACAAAGAGAGTATTTTGAAAAAGAGAGTGAGTTGGAATCAGATCTTTACCTCCCTAACTCAAATAGTATGTTTTCGTTACCTTCTGAGGCTATAAAACTTATATATCCCATTTTAAATAGAGCTTGAAAAAAGAGTTATTGAAGGATTGGCTTCTTGTCACTCTGTTGCGCAATTCGAAAGCACATATGTAGGCAACGAAGTTGAACTTCAAATGTTTAAGTCCACTGGTTGGGTCCTCAATGATAGAGAAAAAGTCCCAATATTAAAGGACCCTACAGGTAAACACGTGTTGCGCCTCATACGTAAATTTGATTTTGATCACGGTAAGCCCACTGTTTTTTTTCTACTATATTGCCCTTCGTATAATTTTTTTCAGAACTACAAACAATGAGTGTAATTGTTAAAGATCAGGATAACGACCTTCACATATTTTGCAAGGGCTCTTTCGAAAAATTAAAAAAACTCTGCAAAACGCAAACTCTACCATCCACATATCTCAAAACAGCAGAACGCTTTGCGTTTAACGGAGCGTATGTATTAACATTGGCTTATAAACGTCTCGAGACCGATAAAGACATTAGTAATTTAACTCGTGCTGAAGTTGAAGTTAAGTTAGAGTTTTTAGGTAAGCTACCACTTTTGTTATATCAGCATGAGAAAAACGTAGTTCTTACTTTTTAATAAGGACTCATGATCTTTCGAAATGAGTTAAAACCCGATACTCCGAAGGCCATGCGCGACCTGCAACAGGGAGACATTACTCCCATAATAATAACTGGAGACAACGCAAACTGTGCGCAGTATATTGCCAGGGCGTGTAGTATTATTAAACCTCGACAGCGTGTGATCCTTGGACAGCTGGAGGGGGAGCAGGTCAGTTGGCGGTATTTTGGGGAGGGGGTAGAAAATAGCGAAATTATGACCAGCAGGGAAGTATTGAGGAAGTGTAACAGTACTCGTAAAAATTTATCAAACGAGCACGACTTCGTTCTAGCGCTAACGGGTAACGCAACGCTCAATGCTCTTGTCGAAAGAGGTTATCTGGAGTTGATGATTTTCCAAATTAGAGTCTACGCGCGCATGTCACCTGGTATTCTCTTGATTCTTTATTCAATATAATTACAATTCTGTATATGCACTGCTGTTTGTAGACTCCAAAGTATATATTGTGAAAGCTTACCGAGCAGCTGGTCTCATAGTTGGTATGTGTGGAGATGGCGGCAACGACTGTGGCGCGCTTAGAGCAGCTCATGCTGGAATCGCTCTTAGTGATGCAGAGGCGTCAATGGTTTCACCCTTTACTTCAAAGTATCCTACTTATTGACATTTTCACTTCAAATCTTATGAAAGTTAATTACTTTATTAATAGGGCCAAAACATGCAGTTCTGCTGTCGATTTGGTAAGGGAAGGAAGAGCAGCCCTACATACGTCCTTCGCGGTGTACAAATTTTTAATCTGTTACGGGCAATTATTCTCAATGGTTAAGCTCTGCAGCTTCTATTACGGAGTTCTAATGAGCTTGCTGGGGTATATTTTTGTTGACGCGGTAGCTGTTTTGACTTTGGGTTATACAATGACCATGGGAGGGCCCAAGAACATTCTCAAAAAGAAGAGACCTACCTCTAGTTTGCTGGGCTCTCAAATGCTAGTTTCAGTAATAGGGGTCATAATCATCAACTTCTTTATACTAATTACCGTAGTTTTGTTAGTAACGAATTCTAAAAACTACGTTCCATGGCCTTCAGACTTGACTACTTCCAAGTACTGGTGGTACATGAGCGATAATTGTAAGTTTTATATGATTTTTTATACGAAAGACATATATTTTAATATTATTAATTGGTTTAAGGGGAGTCAACAGCGCTCTATCTTGCCTTTTACTTGAATTTTATAACCTCAGCATTAGTTTTTAGTTTCGGAAGTCATTTTAGAAGTTTTGTGCTCAAGAACATCTATCTAGTACTCAACTGGCTAGTCCTGTTTGTGCTCACAATCTTACTAGCGTTGCTTCCTCCTTCCTCCTTTACTGATGCGTGGCACATTGCGTCCCGAAAAACCAACTTTCCTGGGACCACCCAACCCGTCTGGCGTAGGTATCAAGCCGAGGGCGGGAGTACTTCTCCAGCTATGAGTTTTGCTCTTCGACTAGAAATTGTTATGATCATAGGTGTGGGATTGATATGTTTATGCTTCTGGCAAGCTTTGTTTGCAGGTGAACTTACGGTCTATTACTTTTATTTATATTATTACTAAGCGCTATATTTTATTTAATAATACTATAGAGGGTCCCGTCGCACAACTTGTTTATAGAAGGTACAAGAAGTAATTTCTTTTTTTTTGCCAGCTATTCTTGCTCTCAATACAAAGTTATATTATTTAAAAGTTATCTAATAAATAAAATTTTAAAATTCTGTTTATTGTGAAAAGACTTCTACGTTATTTCAAAAATTAATAGGAAGGGATAAACGAAGTAACAAATTTTAATAAAATGTTTGTAGCTAATCTGAGAGTGTTCCTTTCCCTTCAACATAACGTATATAAAAAAAATTTATTCAAAATGAAGTGTTTAAGTACGACCTAAAAAAGTATTATTTTTTTCAATTGCACACAGTAATTTTAAGAGTCAGCCCCCTTGTCGTTCCGGTAAAAGCTACTCTTTATATTTATATTAGCGCATTACTCGTATAATTCTTTTAAATAACGTGCTTACTTTATAAAGTTATTATTTTATTACCTTGACGTTTAAATTCTATAACGATCTCTGCGAGTTGTTTTAAGAAAAATCTTACCTAAAGTAAATTTCTATAACTTTTAGGCGATAAAGTCTTCAGCTAAATAAGCAAAAGATGGCAGAAGAATAATAAAAAAAGTTGTACAAATTTAAATTTTATTATAAAAAAAAAGTTTAAAAAGCACGGAACGTTTCAGTTATCGTTAAGAAGTCCCATAAAATACAAAATTCTAACAAATAAATTTATAATGTCCAGATATAGTACCAAAGCAGCCTTAAACGTTTATATATATAATAAAACAATAAAAGCTGTAAAGTGTCGAGTGATGTGAATGTTAATATAAAAAAAAATAATTTTAAATCTTCTAAGATTAATTATTGTTGTTATTCAATATTACTGTAGTATAATTATTTTCACTAGTAAATAAAGAAATCGTCACTTTTTGGTAAATATAAATAATGTTATACTAATTAATAACATGATATAAAATTATAATTTACATAAGAAAACTAAACGATGCTTACAAAGATGTGTTCCTTTTCTCGCAAATTATGATCTCCTTTTAATAAGCATTGAGTGTCGTAGACGATAAAGAAAGAAAAGAGAAGCATAAAAGCAAGTGAAACTATTAAGTGGAGAATCTAATTTTTATTTAAAATTAATAGTTCTAAAAATAATAGTAATAAAAATAAACTTTAATCTGTGCGTAGCTCAAAACGTTTGTGAACGATATAAGAGATATAACCAAACTGAAAAACAGGAGAAACAAAATCAGAAGCCACAAATAAGGCCCTAAATAATTAATATTAAGAATAAGTATTAGTAATAGTAATAGTAATAACTGACCTGCACCAAGATAACTATATTTCGTTTGCAATGCAAAAAGCATGAGAGAAGCCACGAGAGCGGTGGTGATCCCAACGGACAAAAAAACCTTACAAAATTTTAAATAAAATATAACTAACAAATAGATCGATTATTAACTTTAAGATATATTAATTTATTTAAAGTTTATATTAATACTAATAAGCCAAAAAACTTTATATAATTAAGTTCGCGGACTATATTACATTAAAGCAAATGAGTATTGGGCTAGTAGTGTTTACAGTCAAGTTCTTTAAAAAAATAAAACAATAAAAATAAGTGATAGGATCTAAATTTACAAAATTAATTTTTTGAAACTATAATATAACCCTTAAAAAAAATTAAAATTTATTTTAAAGAGAATCACCACTGAAGCGTTGTAAAAAGAGCATAAGGCACCGACTGTAAACCCTTCAACGCACTAAATGTTATTGAAATTTATAATTCTTAAACCTTATAAGTACCTTGAAAAAATGTTATTAAGCTTAGAAAAATGATAGACCCTTTAGTATGTCTAACTAAATCTGTACAAGGTTTAAAAAAATGAGCAACTTAAATTTAAAAGGAAGAAAATAAAGACCTCCACACCACGTGAGAAGAATTAAAGAAAAAGTTATAACAGAAGAAAGTAAGAGCAACCTAAATATACGGGTAAAAAGTATATTCAGTATAAGTTTTCTCAGTATTAAATAGTTAGCGCTAAAAATTAAGCAAACATAAAAATATAAAAATACCATAAGTTATGAGCGACAAAAATGGAAAGAGGTTTGCAGGAAACGAAAAGTATTACAAACGCTATATTTTATAAATGATCAGTAAGTGTATATAGTTAATATTGGATTAAAATTAGAAACCCAAAGTGACCAGCAACTGAATTGTTAAAATCCCAAATACCTAATTCAAATCCATAAAAAAATAATAAATTTAAGATTTTTTAAAAAAACATTACCTTTCTTATAAACTTTAGTTGATCGCTTTCATCTTTTTCTTTTATGAACCCACCCTTTAAGTAAGAGTATTCTGTTTGTGCTTCTTCATCAAGTGTGCTGTAATCACTATAGACTGGTGAGTAAACAAAAGCAATATTAAAAAAGTAATGAAGAATTACAGAAGTATATTTATAAAAACAATAGTGCTGAAAATGCCTAAAGGTTAATTAGAAAAACAATAATGTTGCTAACAAACTAACTTTGTGTATAAGGCGGAGGAGAAGGATAATCATTCGCTCTATGGTAATTGTTTTCTCTGGAAGTCATTTAAAGACTTTTTAAGATATACCGGAAAAAATTGCTTTTATGTCTAAACTGTATTCGCTTTAGTGTGGAAAACAGTCTCCCAAGTTGTATAAGAGTTGTTTTGTTGTAGTCAAATAGTTTATTCTAAAATTTATTTATATCGATTGTTAACGTTTACTGGCTACTTTTATACCACTAACTAAAGATGACGCAATCAATTTCCTGCTCTTTCAAAATCATATTCTTTTAAGTAAATTACAGTACGGCTTAATTTAAAACCGTATAACTAATATAGTGCGAGGTTATAGAACTTCTTAAGCAAGTATAATATAAAATTTAAGACCTTAAAAAGGTTGCTCACTTTTTTAGTTACGTATCATTTTATAAAGCTGGCCAACTCTCGATTTGTTCGTCCCCTTGCAATCTGTGTATATCGATACAAAACTAAATAAAAATACAAGTTGACCAATAAAGCTGATTAAATTTAGGAGCGTTTAGTCGCTGGACAGTTAAGGTTTATAGTTACAAGTAAATCCACCTTTACAAACTTACTCTAAAGACGCAAAGTTTTAGATTCTTTCTTACGAATTTAGATATATACCGTTTTCCGGTCCAAAAATACTTTTTAAGGTTGAATGTGACTGCCTTTTATTACTTGAAAAATAAATTAAAAGAAATATTTTTAACTTAATTTTTATTTTTTTTTTTCGTTTTCTAAATCGCTTTCAATGTTTAAATTACAACTCCGTTATCGTTTTATATAAATATTTTTTAATTTTTCAAAAATAAAGATTAGAAAATTTAAAAGATAGGCTACCGTATCTAACATTAAAGCTTTGCCTAATAATTTTAATTAACCTAAAGAAAAGCTAAAACTGCGTTGTTTCTTTGTTTTTACTTGGAATTTTTATTTAAATTAAGAGAAGAGGAGCCCTAAATTATTTTTTATATTTGAGCCTATAGTTATAAAAGAACGAAAAACGACATGAATTAGTCATCTAGGCCGTTGATTCGTTTTGTGATTTTATTTGTTATATATTTGTTCACTAAATATTTTTACAAAGTTAAATGTAAATTATCAATAGGTACTTTTATTTGTACATAATTTCTTCCTAAAAGAAAATAATAGGCGAGGGCTTATTGCTAAAAATGTTAGCTAATCGCTCACAACCTGAAAGAAAGAGTTAATTTTTGATGGAATCGAGAAGAGAAGACTTTACGGGTTTCACGGTAAGTACAAGCTATCCATACGCCACCCTTCAAAGTTTTTAGAGCATTAGTAAAAGAACTAAAAAGCTACAAAAACTGCACAACTATAATAATAATACTATTCGAATTCGCGATGATAAGACTATATGATATAATGACAATGCCTTCTAAACTGAAATACTTACCTCGTTAAGTGAAACTTTTAAAGAGGGACCTTCCAAAAATTCGATAAACCGAAACAGTGCTATAAAAAGATTTCTCCGGAAGAAAGACTTATTGCCTAGCTAGTTGAGAAACTTGGCAAAAACGAATTAAATATTATAGATGTTATCAATAATTCACACGGGATTAAATTATAGTCAGACTACACATGACTATTGCAAACTAAGTAAACTATTTAAAATACGAAAAAATTTTCCTACAAGCTCCCATAAAGGAGGGCGGAAAAGGAAACTTACATTGTGGCTAATTATAAAAAGCTTCAGTTTTTTACTGCTTGCGGTTAATGCTGAAACTGGAGGCTTTATATCTGACTTTATCTACAAAAAATGCAGTGGGGATGAAGAATATTTTAAGAAGTTCAATGCTTCACTGAAATGAGGGGTTTTCCCTGAGTGGAAGGTTGCAAAAATTATCCCCTTCACTGATATGTGAGCCTATTTTCCCATTAGTTTACTATTTCCACTTGGAAAAGTATTGGAGACCTTAATTTCTACATGACTAAACTATATGGTTATTAAACGCAACCTAATTCTAGCAAAACAGTATGTTTTTCGAAAAGGTCATTCTGCACAATACAGACTTTACGCGTAGATAAACTTATTACTACATAACCAGAAAACCGCAAATCTCTTCTTAATTGATACTGAAAAGACATTTTACTACCTTTGACGTGTAACCTTTCGTTTAAGTTATCCGCAAATATTGTTGAACTAATTCAAGAAAGCGGTGCCGTCTCAACGAATATCTCCCCTTCATTCAGGGGAAGTCCTCAAGCCTCTGCACTGTTCCCATTGTTTTTTTTCAATTTGTGTAAGACTTACTTATAAATAGCGACACAAAAACAGCGTCAATGTGCAGATGACATTACTAGTTTCTTTTTATAAGGCTTTTGCTTTAATACAATTGATACTAGTTCTTCTCTCAAAGAAGTGATAATTTAGTACCCAAAATGAAAATATAAAATTTAATGCTATGTAGGCAAGGGTTTATTTACATCTACGCGCGAAAATAATTCGTAAACTTAACTGAGACGATATCCCATGGTTTTTAGATATTAAATAATAGGAGTCTCACTCGATAAAAAATTGAGCTGAAATGTAATAGAGCTTATGTTATTATTAAGCTTATAACCCTGTTTATTCTCTCTACACCTGTTTAGACTGAAAAGTAAATTTCCCTAAAGAACCTTTTCTAACGTCCAAAAGTAATCGGCCCACTTTAGCATATGAATCTCCTGTCTGGGAGTACTGCCCGTCTCAGCTTCTTAGGAAACTTCAGTGTTTTCAGAACAAATAAGTTTAAAATTTTTAAAAGCGCTTCGTGATATATTAGCAATGCTCAACTGCATAAAGAGCTTATATTTTAAATTATCAAACAATTTATTGGTTATTTAGTATAAAATACCTAGGAAAATGGAATTACTGTTGGCTACATGCCTTAATTAATTTACTATTCTAGAGAATTGAAAGCTACAACGAAAAGGATCATGGTCTAAGCATCTTCAGATTTTTCCGTTAACTATTATTGATTTCATATAAATGCTCAAATGCGACTTGCTTCCTTGTGCTGACTTTAATTGTAAACACACAAAATGAAATAAATAGGGTTGAGAGCCAAAATTGAAGAAATACTTGAGAACGCGTCTAAAAGCAAATTTTGCTCACGAATAAAACGAGTACTTCCGGTATGCCGACGCTACTACTATAAAGGAGCACTTCCTGTTAAGGAAGAGTCACTCACGCAAACCATAGAAAAAACTTAATATTTCTAAACTGACTATTGAAAAGCTGTTTTATGTTTTTACGTCTTTGGGAGCATATACGATGTATTAATTATATATTCTATTATATGATATGCAAATGGGTCCATAATGTCAGGATTATCCTAAACGTACCATTAAGTTTATAAAATGCAATTATTGAATAAAAAAAAAAGGTGCAGCAAACAGGTGGTTATTTAAAGATTGCAGTGCGCATTCTAATCAACTTTTGGCCAAAGCTTTAACTTACGATCCTAACCACAACGTCCAAAAGTATTCTCACGTAAACCTTCTAAACTAGTAATAACAATGATTTAAAATACCATATATTTGTGCTTCTAACAATAATTATAATATTAATAAAATTTGCAGTAATAATTATAATAATAACATTATTACAAAATAATAAGCGAAAAACTCACTTTTATAGAATCTAAATTGACCTTACATACTCCCCCTAAGCAGTTTTGGGATTCCACGGTGGCATATCACTTCTATTAAATATATAAACAATATTTATACAAATTTTTTTTTTTTTGCTTCAACCTCCCGTTTGTTTGTTTGTTATTATCTCAGTCTATAGGTCTTGATCGGTTGGTATTACAGATAAAAGTGTCATTTATTGATTCTAGCCTATGAGCTAGAGCAAAAATATATAATCATCTATAGTGTGTCATATAAATAGTGTTAGTTTAATAAAGTTAATAGTAATTATTTAGTTGTGTTATTGATTCCAGTCTAAAGGGCTAGAACACAGGAATAAAATATATCATCTACAGGGTGATCGTTTAGTAATAATTAGTTTTTGGATTAAATTATTATTAGATAAAGGCTTAGTTTTTTCTTAACAAAATATTGATATTTCCGCCCTCTACCATTGTGCACATAGCTGAATAAGTTATGACGCCGCGTTATATACTGAAGCTCCTAGCATCACCTCTCACAAAATAGACACCTACAGGCTTATCTTCCCTTACTCGAAAAATGGTGCACAACTTGGCCTTTTTTAACTATCAATGTTGGTAAACTAAACTTAACCGTTTGAAATTCTAATGTCACTTTTCTGTTGCATGGGTTCGAGAAGAAGAAAAACTAAAATTATTATGACAAAAATTAAGATGGGCAGTTCACGCAACTTTCATATCCCAAATAACTAATTTTTTGTTTAAATTTTCTACACTCTATCAAATACGCACAGTTTGATGAATATGAAGAACAAACTACTTTTTTATAAATCTTTCCAAATAGACTGAAACTTAAAACCCATTAATAATAATATTAAAAAACTTTCTATCATCTGGGAAAGTTGCCAAAAACACTCGAATAAGCTGGCAACAGAGAACCTTTCATATTACCCTCAACTGTTTTCAAAATTTAAAAGGCCACTGCACCTTATAAATATAAACAATCAGAGAATGACCTGAATCATTGTGCACAATCAAATTTATAAGACAAGCAGTTAACCGAGCTTGGAAGATAACTCCGGTGTGTGCTACTACCATGCGCATTTAACCCTCATTAACGAGGGGAAATCGATTAAGCGGGGGGTCTATTAAATCCACGAGATCAAGTAAAAAGTTGGGAACAATAATAATTTTTGCAAAAGGAAAAATATAAATTTAAACTAGTAAAATAAAACATGTGTGTGGCTGTTATTTCTTCCCCTCTACCTTATCCCCTCTTTCCTCCTTTCTGTCCATTAATACCCCTTAGAATTTGCTGTTGTATGTCAATGCTCATAATGAATTAACGCAGTAATAGATAAAGCGATTTGTATCTGCTTCATTTTTATCATAATTAGTTACTTTAAAATTGATAATCTCGAGCATATACTGTTTTTCAAATAGTTGTCCAAAGTAACTAACGAACTTTTGTGTCTCCCACAAATAATATGTTATCTGTATAAATTTCGCATCCTTTAGAATTATTATTAACCCATTATAACAATATATGGCACTTAATAAATGTTTTATTTGTTTTGCTTTAGTGGAGTTTTTGTTCAGGTTGTTTTGTGGTGTGAGGTTAACTAACATTTATGCAGTCCTTAATATCTAGATTAATATATGGCTCCAGGACTTCCCATTTAAATATTTCTAATTTATTGTTTAGCACTAGACTTTTGTTTGTTAACAAAGGTACGCTTACAATAACATATGCTAAGTTTTTAACGTCTACGTATACTGTACTTTTATGCGTTTACAAGTAAAATTTACAAGAACTTCGAAAGTTATATATATTTATATAAGCATGACTTTGTAGCCTTCTTCAGAAGGGAATTAAGAACTCTTTAAAGTTTTATCCCTAAAACTTTTATGCGCTTACAAGTAAAAACTACAAAAACTTTAAAATTTTTTAATATCTACATAGATAATGTTTAGCTTTCATTACAATGAAATTATAACTCCTTAAACCTTTTTGCGTTTTTAAGTAAAAAAATAAAGATTACCAAAATCTTCAATACTTTTGTGGGTAAATTTATTCTACATTTTTTATATGGTCTGTAGCTTTTTCAAAACAATATTTGTAATTCCATTTTCAACTTTCACGCTTTTAAAATAAAAACTACAAATCAAAAAGATAAAATTTTATTATAAAAAGGGTAATTTCGAATAACATTTATTTTTCTTCACGAAAAAAAGTTTTCCCAGCGTTCCTTTTTATTTACATAAAACCGTTTAAAAGACGATCAATAGCTAAATTTAAATTTCCGTTCGTCGCACGGAGTGCCGCTATATTACTTTCATCATCACTGAAGCCCATTTCCCGTAGTTTTTCTAGTTGAAGGGAGTACCGATCTTCTGGAGGCGTGTTGCCTTGAGAATCAACAGCAGTAGAAACTTTAAAAAAGAAGTTTATGAAAAGTTTAAAATCATAATATTAAAATTTAAAATTGTATAATTTAAAAAAACAATTATAAATTTACTCTTTTTTAAAAAATTAAAAATTGTTTAGTAGTAATAGTAATAAATAGTAAAAAATGTTACATCCTTCTGGAGGTAAAAGATCTTGACTGGAAAGATCCGAGCTGTAATAATTATTAATAATAGTTAAAATATTGTATGCTTAGATAAAATTATGAAATATATAAAGTTTCTTATTAGTTAAGCGTGAAAGATTTTAAAAATAAAGAAATAAATTCAATTGATAATAATTATAAAAATCTAAAATGAAAAAAGGGAGGGTTAATAACAATTAAATTAGTTTAAAAAACTTTTAAAAAGTTATAAAAATAATTAATTTCAAAAAATTTAAATTAAAAAATAAGTATTCAAATATAATATTTAATATATAAATAATAAAAGTTAAAAGTTTTAATAACAAAATTTCTACTAAAAAAATTAAAATTTAGATGCAGATTAAAATTATAAAAAAAATTATATATACATTTTCGATATAAATTAAGAACAATTTAATATAATTTTATAATTCCTAAAGTAAAAAATTGTTAATCAAAGTCAACTTAATAAAATTCATTAAAAAATTTATATTATAAAATTAATAACAAAATAGGAATTATAGTAGCATAAAAATATAAATAATAAAAATGAAATAGCTTTTATTTGTATAAATAAATAAATTAATTATAAAATATTATAAAAAGTAAAAATTTATTATAACAATTTAAAAATTAATATATAATATATAATTTTCTTAAGATAATATTTTATATATAACTTTATACGCAAAATAGTATATAAAAAAATAGAAACGTAACAATTATATATCAAATAATAAAAAATTTATTAGATAAAAGATAATTATTTTTATAAATATATAACAAATAAATAATTATTTCTAGTAAACTATAAAAATAATAAATTTATAAAAAAAAGTGATAAAATAAACATAATTTTAAAAGATATAAATAATAAATTATTATTTATAATTTTTATAACGTTTCAGAATTTATAATTTTTTATAAAAAAAAATATAAAATAAAAATATTATAAAACTTAATAATATTAATAATAAAAAATAATTTAATGTTAAATATAATTTTTATAAGAAACAAATTTATATATAAAGTTATGGATTTTATGTGTTTAAACAATTTCTATACAATAAAATAAAAATATTATTTTATATAAATTTCTAATCAAAATTTAAATTGCAAAAAAAAAACATGTATAAAAAGTAATCTACAATAAGAATATAATAAAAAATATAAAGAAAAATTAATATTATTAAAAGAAAGTAATAAATATACAAAAAAAAATTATAAATTTTAATGCAAGCGAAAACATTAAAAAATTAAAAAAAAAATTAATATTAATGAAAAAATAATAAATAATCTAAAAAATATAAAAAAAGAGGAGCACGGAATAAGCCCGGAGCGCGTCAATGTTTGTAATGATTGTTGGTACTGCGCCATCGCGCGAAAAACTTCGGGGTTAAACACGCGCCGCATCGAGTCCGGATTAGTCAGGAGCCGAGAAAGTTCGGGATTGCTGTGTTATTTTATAAATAATAAAAGAAGATTTTTTAATATAAAAATTATAAAATGTTATTGAAAATTTTATAATAGAAATCAAATTTTTTTAATTTTTTTATTAAATATCAATTATAATGAAGATAAAAATAAATAAAAATTATAGAGAGTTAGATATAAAAATAATAAATAAAGTTTAAATATAAATTTTATTAAGAAGATTTTAATATTTTGTATAAATTAATAATTATAAAATTTTTTTATAAGCATTAAAAAAAACGGAAAACTTTATATAAATATATTTTACAATAAAAAATTTTGAATTTGTTTTATAATACAATAGAAAATTAGAGAATTATCATAATAAGAAAAGTTAATATTAAATTTTATTTTACCTGGTTCAAATTTTTTCTTTTTCTTATAGATTAAAAATTATAAACTAAAAAAAATTATTTTTGGAAGTAGTGAAAAAACGTAAAACTTCTCATAATATTTTACTACTAAGAAATTTAAATTATGTTTTACAATACATAAAAAATTTGAATTTGTAACAATAAAAAAGCTTAAATTTTTTATATAAACTAATAATTACGAATAAAAAGTAATTATTATTTTTCAAAAACTTTTCAAATAAATATTATACTTTATAAATTATAATTTTGTTTGTAAGTCCATAAAAAAAATAATGAAAAAATATAATATTATATTTTGCAAAAGAATAATTAAAATGTTGCAAGCTTTTTTATTAATACATATTGAAAGCAAATAAAACGGAATATTATGAAATTTTCTATATTTAAAGTTAATATAAAAAAGAATTGTTTTAAAAAATTTACAATAATGAAGAAATTATATTAAATAATTAATGGTAAAAGTAATATATATATATAGTAAAAAAGAAGAAATAATAATAATGAATAATTAATTATATCAATAACAAATATAAAATATAAATTTTCATACGGTATAAAAATTGTAAAATAATTAAAATAATAAATATAAAAATTTAAATAAAAGAATCCCCGCAAAAAATCATACAAAACTTTTTTAAAATAGACAAAATAATAAAAACAACTATGAAAGAATTAAAACTTTAATTATTGAAAAAATATTGAAATAATAAAAAAACTTAAATATATTTATAATATAAAAGTTATTATTAATTAATAAAAACACAAAATACATAAAAAAAATAAAACTTAAAATAAAAAATAGTAAACATATTAATACGCGAGATAAACTTTTTCACTTATACAATTTTTAAATTTATTAAGTAAACCTTTATTCATATTTTTATTATTATTTATATATATATATGTAGTAATAAAATATAATAATAATTAATATAAATTAAAATAAAATATAAAAGAAATAAGAATAAAAATAAGTATTTAACTTTTTATTAAAAAAAATTTAAGAAAAAGGGTAAAAAAAAAGTTAACATAAAATATATTATTATAATTTTTAATTCTTAAATGAAAATATAAAAAAAACTTATAAAAATTTCTTAAGTAAAAAATTGATAATGCCAATAAAGAAACTTATCAATAAAATTATTACATTTTTAAAAAACAAAAAAAAATTTAATTTAATAGAAAATTAAAAAATTCCAAGTTAATAAAAATTTAATAAAATAAAATTTTATAAGCAAAAATAATTAATTAAAATATTTTAATAAAAAAATAAAGTTTTAAATTATAAATAAATTTTATAGAGCAAATTAGCATAAAATAATTATATTTTTATATAAAATTAATAAAAAATTAAATATCAAGTAAATAATAATTATATTTTTGATAAGTATATTAAAAAACTTTAGTAAGTAAGCAAAACTATTAAAGCGATTTACATATTAATAAAACTGTTATTTTTATATAAAAATAAAAAAAAAAAACAAAAAAAAATTTATATTTGATAAAAAAAATTAATAAAAAAAAAGCGTTAACATAATTTATATAAATAAGTATGGTACTTTAATAAAAAATAATACTTAAAAAAAAATAAAAAATTATTAAGCAAATAACATTTTATAAAAATAATTATATCTTAAATAAAAAAATTAAAAAAAAATTCTTATGTAAAAAAAAAGTAAATAGAGCGATTTACTTAATATACAAAAAGGAAATAATAATCAAGTTAATAATAATTAAATTAATAAAAATTCTTGAAAAAAAAATACAAGAGTCAAAAACAACTAATTAAAAACCTTTGGAAGTAAGGATTACTATTGAGTATGCGAGTAACAAGCTCAGGATTGGACGAAACTTGCCGCATGGCCTCTTGAAATGCAGAAGATTCTAAGAGAGAACCAAAATTTCCTGCAGGATTTACTTTTATATAAATAAAAAAAAAGTTGTGTTAAAAAGTTTTAATAATTTATAACAGAATTTATATAAAAAATAATAAAAAGTTATATAGTGATAAGTTATAAAAAAAATTCATATAAAATTAGTAAAAATGAATAAATAATAACAAAAAAAATTAAAAGAGAAAAGTTTGAAAAAAACATTGTTTAGAAGTTAATTATTTAAAATATTTTTAGTATAAATATTTAAATAAAAATAAATTCTGAAAAATAAAAAAGCGAAAAACAAATTTATTATATACAAAAACTTTTTTTATTTAAATTGAAATAAAAAAATAAAAACATTAAGAAATCTAATAATGCTTTAATATAAAAAAAATCTTTCACATTTTAAATATATTACTATCTAAAATTTCACAGAAATTGCAATAAAAATAGTAAGTGTATACATTTATGATGTTTATAAACAATTATAAAAATATAAAATTATTTTAATACTAATACAAATGCTTAATATAAAATACATTTTTCAAGAATAAAAATATAAAGTAATAATTTTTAATACAATTTATTTTTTTTTTTATTTTAGAAAATTATTTTTTAAAAAAATCAAATATTTGCATAAAAAAAGTAGAAACATAATAATAAGTAATTTAAATTAAAATAACGTATAAATTTTTCATATAACAAATTATTTTTATATAATAAATTGTTTGAAAATTAAAAAATTACAAGAAAAAAGTTTTGATTATTTAAATTTAAAAATTATTTGTTTATGCTTTCAAAAAAAAATAAAAGTATAAATTAAACAAAAAAGTAAATTTTTTATGTAACAAAAAAATTTTTTTTTTAAAAAATGTATAGAAAATTTAAGTGTATAAATTATAATTATTTAGAAGAGTATAAAGTAAATATGCTTACATAAAACCACAAAAATTATTTTTCAATTAAGTTGATTTTAAAAAAAATAAAAATTTATATTCGTTTCTTGTATAATTCTTTATTATAAAGTAATAATAACAAAAAAATGTAAAAATATTATAAATATTTTATTTTTAAAATATATATTATCAAAATATTAATAAATAAAAAAGTTTATAGTAAAAATTTATTAATAAAAAAATTTAAAAAGTATAAAAATTTATAACTTTTAATTTTGTGTAACAATTAATTAATAAACATTAATTCATTTATAAGCAATTTACGTATAAAAAAATAAAAATAGGATTATTTTAAATGTTTAATTTAAGAGCAGCAAAATATTAAGTTTAGTATTAATACTATTTATTACCAAAAAAAGTAATAAAAAAAATGATACATAATATTTATTTTTTAATAAAATGTTATGAAAAACAAGAAAAAATAAAAAAAATCGAAATATATTTTTTACTTTTTGTATTCGTTTTATGAATATTAAGGTAAAAAATATAATTGTAAATATCACTTATAAGAGTGCTCGTTAATTAGTACATATAATAAAACTAATGAATATAAAAAGTTCGACTATTTAATATTTATATTAAAAATAAAATATTAAAAAAAAATAAAACACAAAAAGTATAATTATTATAAGTGTTGTTAAAGATGATTAACAGAAAAAAAGTTTTTCATAAATTTATTAATATAAAAATAAAAATATTTAATAAACAAATTGTATTTTTTTATTAATTACTATCAACAGGATACTTTTTTTTTAGTATATTTAATAAAATATTGAAAAAAATTGAAAAAAAATATTTTTTTATTTACTGTTTATATTGAGGTCATCAGAAAGAAAATTTTTTATACATATTTATTGTAAAAAATTTATAAAAATATATTTTTCAATAGTGTTTATATTGAAATCAGCAAAAAAACGTTTTTTTTAAAAAAAAATAAATATGAAAATGTTAGGGATTATCAGAAAGAAAGTTTGTTATATCCATTTTAAAAAAATCTTTTAATTTATTCAGCTGGAATAAAGTTTTTAAATATTTGTTAAAAATAAAATAATAAAAAATTAATATATATTATCTTAATGAAACAGCAGAATTTTTTTTAAATATCTAATATTATTAATAATCTTAAAAAAAAATAAATATTATAGTCAACATTAACTAGAAAAAAGTTTGTATCTAATTATTATAATATAAAAATAATAAAACTTAAAAAAAAAATTAGAAAAATATTTTTTTAGTAAACTGTTTGAATTGGGATCAACAGAAGAAGTATTCGAATTTCCCGCCCACGGATTGGGCAAAGGATGCGTCGGTATAGACGAGTTTCCTTCATTGGTAGAAAATGAATTGTTTTCCTTTTTATATAACAGTAATATCAACATTTATAAGAATAATGTTAGCAATAATAATAATAACTACAACAACAGCAAAGATATTAATAATAATAATAATAAAACTTTCAAATTTGATGTAAAAATTTTTTTAAACTTTAAAATATTCATAGAAGTAGTAATCATAAAATAATATTAACAACCAAACATTCATTAAATTTAAGTAAATTTAAAATTATTAATTAATATTAACCTAAAGTATATAATAAATATTTAATATAATTAATTTATTTAAAACATTTTAAAATACTCTTAAATATTACTATTAAAGATAAAAAAAAAATTAATTTTGAATTTATTATAAATTTTAAATATAATAATAAAACTTTAAAAAAAGTTTTAGATATTAATATTATCTGTAAAAATAATAACATTTGATAAAACAATATAAAAAAATTAAAATATATAAACTTAATTATAATAATAGTTATAATAATAAAACTTTCAAAGTAGATTTTTTAAATTTAAATTATTAATATTAAATACTATAAAAATATAAAAAAAGACAATCATAAGTAAAAAAATTTAATGTAGATTAAAAAAACTAATAAATATAATAACTATTAAAAAATAATTTACTTAACAAAAAAAATAATAATAAAAAACAATCATAATAATAATAATAAAACTTTCAAGAAAAGTAAGAAAACTTATATATTAATATAAAATATTAAAAAAAAAAGTATTAATAAAATATAATTTACTTGTTAATAATGATAATAAAAACAAGCACAATAATAATAAAAAACTTATAAATATAAAAAATAGATTACATTATTAAAATATACTTAATTTAATGATAAAACATTCAAAAAATTTAATACATTTATTAAAATATATTATAAAATTATAAGTGGCATTTAAAAATTATAATACAATCAATAATGATAACAATTACAATCATAATAATACATTTAAATAATATAAAATTCAAAATATTAATATGAAGTAAGATATAAATATAATAATTAATATTAAAAATTAATAAAAATAATAATGAAGCTTCAAATAGTAAAAAAAAACTTTAATACTAATTGTAAGAAAAGTATTAAAAAAATTATAATATAAAAATAGGTATAAAAATATTAATAAAACATTTCTAGTAAATTTATATTTAGTTTCAAATGTTCGTATTAGATAATATTAAAAAAAATTAAAATTATAATAAAAGTGATAATAACTACAACAACAACAAAACTTTTACAACAGACTCAAATGTTTTTTTAAATAATACTGTTAAATAAAAATTATTATTATAAAAATATAAATAAGAAAAATAAGAATATAACGTTTATAGAAGATTTATATATATATTTTTTTAATAAAATTAAAATTAGAAATTTAAAATCAACAAAAAATAATAAACTAAAAATAAAATTTTTAATATCCAATATTATTTAGTAATCAAAATTTTTTATATATTAATTTATATTAAAACTTTTACAGAAGTTGCATCAGAATTAATATTTTCAAGCGGAGAAATAACGTCCGTATACAACCTGCGCAGTGCGTTGTAGCCTATTTAAGTTTATTAATAAAATTATTATATTTTGAAAAAAAATAAAAAGTTTAATTATAATAATATAATAAAAGTATAAAAATATGAAATATATAAAAATATTTTTAAAAGAAATAAAATAAATTTATTTATAATATTAATATGTAAGAATTTAAAAAGATAAATATATATAAGCGTAAAAGAAATTTGGTCAAAATAATAATACAACCAAAAATATAAAAAAATTCTAAAAAAAATTAAATTCTAATACAATTAAAAGTAGAAAAAATATATGAATTTGAAAAAAAAAGAAAATTAAAATATAATAAAATTAAAAAATATAATTTTTAATTAATAAAAGAAAAAATTAAAAAAAAATTATATAAAATCATAAAAATTATAGTTCAGATTTACAATAATAAATTAACAAAATACAAAAAATATAAATTTTTAGCAAAAAAATAGAATATAAAAAAAACATTTAATTTAAGTTAAATTTATTATGAGAAAATAAAAATAAAAAAAGTAATTTTTGGAATAAAATATTTTAAGTAACAAAAAAACTATAAATGAAAATTTTTTATATCGAAATAATGAAAAATACAAAAAAATATAAATTTGAAAAATACAAAGGATTAAAAAAATTATTTTTAAAGTTAAAAAGAAATTTAGAAAATAATAAATTAAATTTAAATATAATTATTGATTTATGAAAAGTTTCAAAAAATATTATAGTTAAGTTATTTATGTAGTAAATAATATAAATTAAGTAAAAATAATAAATATAAATAAAAGGTTTATGCGGAATAAAAACTTTTTTATAAATAAAAAATAAAACAGAGCAAATTTATTTAAAAAATTATAAAACGTAAATATTTGTTAATATTTTTTTAAAAAGTGTAATAAAAATATTATAATAAATTAATAAAATATGAATTAAAATAGTAAAAAAAAGGGATAAAAAGTATTGAAAATATTATTTTATTATTAGGATATGATTAAAAAAAGTATAAAATAGTAAATAATTTTATGTTTTAAAAAAATATTCAAATATTTTAAAATTATAATAAAAAAATTTGTGAACAGAGTATAGAAAAGTAAATATTATTACTATTTTTAAAAAAATAAATTGAAACATTTCAAAAACTACATAATAAATAGTAGAAAAATATAAATATATTTTCATAAATTAAAAAAAAAAATTCAAATAAATAGATAAAAATTTCTATTAAAAATTAGTAAAAAAAACTATAAAACTATAAAATATTATTATAAATTTAAAAATATATCCAAACGATTTTAAATAACATATAAAATAGTAAAAAGTATGATATATATTATCATAAATTTTAATAAAAAATTCATATAAATAAATATAAATTTCTCATAAAAATTAATAAGTATGAAATATAAAATATTTTAATTAATTTAGTTGTCAAACAATTTTAAATAATAGGAAAATAGTAAAAAGTATAAATAGTATTTTCATAAAATTTAAAAAAAAAATCTCAACAAATTTTAACTTCAAATTCAATAAAATTAAAAATTCTTATACAAAAAATTAAGCGAAATTGAACAAAAAAAAAGTAAAAAGTATAAATTTATTTTTTTTTAAAATATTAATAATATATACAAAAGTTTTATAATATTTTTACATGTTATTCTATTATTACTGTTATGCACAGCCCGTCAGTGGTTTAACATCCCTAAGGTTATTTCGTAACGATAATATGAATGACTTAATTGACCATTTTTATATATAAATATTATGAAACAAAATTTTAAACAAATTTTAATTAAACTCTTTTTATATTAATAAATAAAAAAAGGATAAAAATGTAAATATTATAATAAATTTAAAAAATACTAAATAAAAATTATTAAAATATTTTAGTCGGTTAAAACCAAAAAATTTTATAAAAAAGTTAATTTTTTTATATTATATAAAAAGTAGAAATGTAAATCTTTAATAAATTCAAAAAATTTAATTATATCACACAACATTAAATAAAAAACAATAAAATAATATCAAAAAAAAAGTAAAAATTATATTAATTTAAAAAAAATTGTGAAACGAAAAGAAATCCCATAAAGTATGAAAATATAAATATAAAAATAATTTTTAAATAATATAGTACAAAATTATAATAAAAAAAAAACATTTTTATTATATATATAATATGTAATTCATAAAAAATTTCAAAAAAAAATTAACGTAGAAAAATTAAACAAAACTTCCAAAAAAAATTTACTATTATTTTATTTTTTATTTTCATATCCAATTTTTTACTTAAAAACTTAAAAAAAGTATAAAAATATAAGAATAAGAATATATAATTCATAAAAGAGTTCAAAAAAAATTTTCATATAGACTTATTTGTTATTCTATTCTGTAATTTTATTTTCTTACTTAAAATTATTAAAAAAGTATAAAAATATAAAGAAATATTAATTATTAAAAAAGTTTAAAACAAATATAATGAAAAAGTAATAATTATAAAAACATATTGAGTAATAAAAAATTTCCAAAAAAAAGTAGAAAATATAATTAAACCGAAAATTTCTTTTAAATAGAAAAGAATATAAATTTTTTTTAATTTTTATTATTTCCATTATTATACGTAATATTATTAAAAAAGTATAAAAATATAAGAAATATACCAATTAAAAATATTTTACAAAAATATGAAAAAGTAATAATAATTAATTATATAATATAGAAAAATATAATTCATAAATAATTTCAAAAAATGATAATCTAAAAAAGTAATTAAAATAAGTATTTATTTGATTTTATTCATTATTCTATTCTATATTTTCCTATATGTTTTATTTTTTAATTAAAAATCAGAATTTCTATAAATATGAAAATATAATAATTTGCTATAAATTTAAAAATATAATTAAAAAAGATTTTAAAAATTAAATAATTCAAAAAAGGCAATTATTAAAACTTATAATAAAAATTTACTTATAATTTTAATTTTTAGTATCTTCTATTTTTATTTTTTTACTTAAAATAATTATAGAAGCATAAAAATATAATAATTTATTATAAATAAAAAAATAAGGAAAGCGTAACCGAGCAAAAAAATTTAAAGGAAAGATAGAAAAATTTTTTCATTATTATATTTTTTTATAAAAATTTTCTATAATTTTTATTTTTTTCCTAAAACTACATTAATTAAATATAATAAATAAAAAATTAAAATTATAAAATATTGCAACACAGTATAATTTTTTTTAAAAAAATCTAATGATAATATATATATAAAAAACAAAGAAACAGAAAAAAATAAAAATTCATAAAATAATAAAAAATTATAAATAATTAAAATATAAAGATTTTAAAAATATTAAAAAAAGCATTAAAAAATAAAGTAAAAATAAATATTAGCAAATCAGTAACTTAAAAAATTAAAGATATTAATAAAATTTATGTATAGAAAAAAAAACTTTTTTTAAATAAAAATATAATAACTAAGTAAAATTTCAATATAATAAAAATTATTAAAAATAGAAATAATAATGTTAGCAAATTTATAATTCCAATAATAAAAGTGTATAAAAAATTAATACAATCCAGTATATGTATATAAATATTAAATTAAAAGTTTTCTTTACGATAAAATATATATAAAAAATTATATACTTAATAATACACATTAAAAATGAGCAGTAAAAAAAATGTAATAAATAAAATATGTAAAATATAATAATATATATCAAAATAAAAATATATAATAAAAAAAAGATAATAAATTAAAAGTTTATAAAGAAGTTATACATAATATATATATAAATAATAATAACAAATATAAATATATATTAAAAAAAATGAGAATTAAATAAAGGAAATAAAAAAGTTAAACAAAAAAATATATATAAAATATAAGGATAAATAAAATATTATATATAAAAAGTTAGAAAAAAAGGTTATATATGTATAAAGATAAATATCTATGATAAAATAAATATTAAAAAAAAAATTTATATTGAAAAAAATAAAAAATATTATACATATGATAAAAATATATATCAAAAGATGAAAAATATATACTTAAAAAAATAAATAATATTATATATATATATAATAAAAATATATATGAAAAAATAATATATATAAAAAATTATACATACAAAAAAAATATTATATATATATAAATGTAAAAATATATATATAAAGAAAAGGAAAAAAAAATTATAATATATTTAAAACTATAAAAAGTATAGAAATAAGAAGATAAGGGAAAAAAATAAAAAATATTATATATATAAATTAAATATTTATAAAAAGATAAAGAATAAAAAAGTCATAAGTAGAAAAAAATATATATACATTATAAAATATGTTATATACAAGAAAATAAAAATCACATATACTTTTATATATTCAAAGACAAAAGTGTGTAGACCTTCCGGATGGCTTTCAATATTTTGCATGGCTCTGTCTTGTGTGCGCAGCATTTCCTGCATCAACGCGGGATTACGCATAATTTCAAGTGACTATGGAAAAAATTTCTTAGAAAAATAGAAATGAAGTAAATTATACTGAAGGTCTTAAAAAATATAAAAATATAATTATTTTCAATATAACTGAAGCACTGCAGAAATTTATTATAAGTTGCGATTGTTTATAAAAAAAATTTTAAAAAACTTTAAAAATTTAAAAATGTTTGTTACAAAAATAAATAATAAATTAATATAAGTATCTAAATTATAATTGAAGTGCTAAATAAAAATTATGAGTAAAAATTGCAATTATTTAATAACATTTTTTAGCAACTATAATAAAAAAAAAAAATTAAATAAAATTTTAATAAAATAAATATATTAGTAAAGTTTATTTAAAAAAGTAATATAAAGAAATTATAATTATTGAAGCGCTACAGAAAACTTACATAAAGTCATAAATAAAAAAGAATTAAAATACCACAAAAAATTATTATAAAAAAAAATGTTTCTACTAAAAAATTAAAAATTTTTAAATTCTAGTAAAAATCAACAGTTGTACTGTAAATAATAAGTTTTTTTAAATACTACAGAAGATTATTATTAAAAAACTTTAAATATTAAAAAAATCTAGCCAGAGAAAAAAATAAATCCTAAAACCAAAATTTTTATATAAAAAAATAAATTTTATTATATAAAAATTAAAAACTACAGAATAAAATTATAAAAAGTTGTTAATTGTATATAAAAAAATTATTAAGTATTATTTGATTATTTTATTTGTATTTGCTAAATTCTAATAACTTTTATTATACTTATTATTAATAGTAGAATTTTCATAAGAATATTATTATTATACATACTTATACTTATTCAAAAGAATAAACTTTATACATATTTTGTTTATATTCATATTTATGTAAATAACTTAATAAAACCTATTATAAATATATATAAAAACATTTTGTATTTATTATATATATTAAATATAACTTTTCTTTGCTTGTTCATCATAATAAATATATTTTTTACTTTATTTTTATCGAACAATATATATTATAATAATATTTTTACTTTGCTTATATACATATATATACTTCTTGTATAAATTTTTTTACTTATTATAAAGACTATATAAACGTATATTTTTGTTTACTTGTTATATATTTATTTCTGCCAATGTATAATTATATATTAATTTGTTATAATTATTCTAAATTATATATATCAAACTTCATTTTTTATTATATTAGTAAAAAAAACTTTTTTAACTTAGTGTATAAATCTATTAATTTTTATATTTTTATTGTGTATTATCTATAACTTTTTATGCTTATTATCAATATAAAAATATAAACGTTATTTTACTATAATAAACTATTAACTTTTTTTTTAAAAATAACTATTTTCCTTTACTTTATAAAATAATTATGTAAAACTTTTTTTTAACGTGATAATTTTAATTTTTATAAAGACCATATTTAATTATAAATTATGATTAAATAAAACTTTTAATAATTTATTAAAAAATATTTTTAAAAAAAAATAATAAAAAAAATAAAATATTTCGCCTTACATTTAAAATTACTTTTACAATATATATAAATAGTCAAACTAAAATCAAAATATAAAAAAAAAGGCAAACCTGCTTTTAAAAAAAAAGATTGAAGCTCTTAGAGTAACAATGACTTTTATAAAATAAAAGTGAATAAAAATGAAATTGAAAAAATATAAAAAAGACAAACTCTCGCTTAAAAAAAATAAAATAAAAATTTAATAAGAATTAAATTTTTTATTTATAATTTACTTTAACGAAAAATATTCAGCATTAAACTTGAGATAAAAAAATAAAAAAAAGACAAATTCACTTTAATAAAAATTAAATTCGATATCAAAAATTTATATAAAAAATTAAACTTTTTAACTTAAATTTACTTTTCAATAATAAAATTATTGGAAATTGAGATTATAAAAAAAAACAAACACATAAAAGAATTAAACTTTTTTTTTCTAAAATTACTTAAACGAAAAATATTAAACAATAAAAATGATATCAAAAAAAATAAAAAAACAAATTCACTCTTCAAAAATATAAATTCACCTATCCGGAATTACTTTTACTATAAAAAAAAAAAAAAAGAAAAATAAATAATTATTAAATTTTAAAAAATTTAAAAGATTTTCCAAATATTTCATTTGGCCGAAGTAATTTAAACATAAAAATTAAAAAAGAATAAAGTATATAATTTTTATAAAAAAATTTCTATAAATTACAAATTCTAAAAAATAGTTTCCTATAATAAAAAATACATATAAAAGAAAAACTTTACTTGAATTCATATAAAAAAATCCTTTTAAAATAATTAACTTTATAACACTACAAAAAATTTACAACAAAAAACTTAAATATATAAAAAAAAATAACTTTTCCAAAATAATATTACAATAAAATTATATAAATAATGAATATTAATTATATATATAGTAACTATTTCAAAAAAGTAAAAATAATTAGAAAAAAAATAAACATAAAAAATGTTTAGAAGAGATTCAGTTTAATATAAAATTATTTTTAATATTAAAAAAAATGAAATAAAGTAAAAAATAGAAATAATAAATAGTAAAGTACAATATATAATATAAGTTAAATATTAATAATAAATACTTAGAAAAATAATAAATAAAAGTTACTCTTCTAATAAATTCGGGATTCCGTAAAGACTGAGAGATTTCGGGATTTTGCTCTAAAAATCGTTGCATTTGCGGATTCATCATCCCCATCATAGAACTTAAAAAGAAGATTTAGAAGATTTATAATATATTCTATAGAAAAACTAAAAATTATAACAAATAAAAAAAATTCAAATCTTAAAAATCCGTAATTTGCATTTTAAATCTAGAAAATAAGTTTATATATATTTTTTTAAAAATTAAAAATTATTAAAAATAATTAGACAATAAATACTCTTATAATAACTGAGTTACGTAAAATAAAAAAATTAACTTATTCTAAAATTATAAATATTTTACAGATGTATAACATATTCTATAAGAAAAATAAAATCTTTAATTAGAAAATTAAAATTAAAATCTAGAAAATATACATAACATATAAATTTACTTTAAATAAAAAAAATATATTTCAAATTAGATGGTAAATTTTCTTATAATAAATGAGTTACATAGAATAAAAAAGTAAATTAACTAAAATTTAAAAAAAAAGAAAAAAGCTATTAAAAAAAAAGAAGATATTAGAAAAAATAGTAAACAATAGAAATAACTTGATTAAAGATTAATTTGTTTAATTTAATTTATTTGAATTAAATTTAAATCGAGAAAAGGAACAAATTAAAGGGCTCAAGCAGGGGAACGTAATAAAACTTTATTGATATAAACCAATTATAAATTTTATTAAAATAAAATTAAGTATATTCTCATAATTAAAAGCAAATAAGAAAAAAAAGATTAAAAAATTAAATAGAAATTAAAAAAATTGTATTTATAAAGTTAACTTAAAAAATTGATTTTCAATTTAAAAATCTTTGAATAAGTTGTAAAACTAAATTGAATCGAAAAAAAATTGAAACAAATTAAATGACGTAAACATAAAATTATGAACGTCCAATAACTTTAACAAAAAAATTAGTTATTAAACAGTTAAATAAAAACATAATAATCTTATAATTATATATAAAATCTATAAGTTTTTTTAATTTTTTTTTTAAAATATATTAACAAAAAAACTAACTGAAAAAAAGAATTAAAAAGAAATCCATAAGTATTGTCAAATTTTTATTACAAAAATTATAATCAAAATCTTGAAAAGTAAAAGTTTACATAAAAAATTACTCATATTTAATAAATTGATTTCAAAATATAATTAGTAACTAATATTAAATCATATAAATAAAAATGAGGAATAATCACTAAAATTACTAAAATTTAAATTAAATTTTAGTAGAATCCAAATCTGAGCGTTTCAGGACAAAAAAAGTTAAAGTACGTAAAAAGCTGAAGTTAAAAAAATTAATATTAAACTTCTCAATTCGACAAGTTATATATATAAATATATTTTCTATGAAACAAACAAGAATTAAATACAAATAAAATTAGAATTTTACAACTAAGAGGTAATTAGGAAATAACATCAGTAAAAATAAAAAACATAATAAATATAAATAATATTATATATTTATATAAAGATTAGCAGTGCTAAAAAAACCTAAACCCATCCGGACTGCTTATAAAAGAATCCAAAAAAGAATTGAGATCGACAGAATTCAAATCGCCAGTCGAATTATTATTTTCTGTCGGCTCCGAATTAACAGAATCAGATTTAGAAGATTCAGGTTTCGATGGTGAAATTTTATTTGCTTTACTTTGAACTAAATGGACGGAATGACCTATTATAGATTGTTTTAAAAAAAATCTAAATTAATTAAAAATTATAAACCATCTTTAATTCCATACTGGTTTATAGTTTTAGAATCGTTTAAAATTTGACCAGCGTATATTAACTTAATATCTTCTAAAAAAAGTTATTAATTTAGTGTATAATTGATTAAAAAAAGTTAAAAGTTATTATTTATAACCATAAAGCGATTTTCAATCTTTAAAAAATTAAAAAAAATCATAATGAAGTTAGTAACCACTAGGAATGCCTGAATCTGATGAAAGTTTCTGTTTTATATTTAAAACGGTATCACCTTCCTCACATTCAAGTACCCATTTCTCTTTACGGGTAATTGTCTTAATAGTCACTTTCATCTCAACTATAACTATCACGTTATATGATTTTATCCCTATAAAAAAAAATTATAATATATATATATAAATAGACTTAAAGGTGACTAAAATCAAAAAACCTTATAAGCGCTGAAAAAAAAATTAAGAAATTCAAGTGATATGAAATATTATAATAGTGCTAAAAAGAGAAATAAAAAAAATTTTTCGACTAATTCTTATAGAATTATTCAAGTAATAACAGAAAAGTTGCAAAACAGCAAGCTGGGGACTGGCAAGAAAGTTTTTTAAAAAAATGGAAGAGCAGTGCGTGCTAGCTTGAAGGGGCTGGAGCCTCGTCTCGTTAGGAAATTTATTACATTAATTTTTTTTGTATATAAAATCTTTGGGCAAACCCATTCGTCAACAATATACTTTTAGCCTTGCCTACCTGCTTTAGTATTTTTACTTTGACTGTAGACATTTTTTGTGAATCAAAAATTTTTTAAAAATATAGTATAACTGTGGAAGTGTTGTTCGCTATAAATTATATTAAAACTTTGGGCCTTGCTTATCAGCTTTAGTATTTTTACTTTGTAATCATTTTTTTATAAAACAAATTATTTTTTTTTAAAAGCGATATAACTTTGGAGGTGTTATACGCTATAATTTATATAAAAACTTTGGGCCTAGCTTATTTAACTTAAGTACTTTTACGTTAACTGTAGTCATTCTTTTTGTATTCTTAAAAATTAATTACAAATATAATGTAACTTTGAGAGTGTTGTCCTCTAGAATTTATATAAAAATTTTGTGCTTAGCTTATTAACTTTAGTGTTCCTACTTTAACTGCAGTCATTTTTTTTTAAAATTTATAGATTTTTTGGAAATTGTAGTGTAACTCTGAATGTGTTTCTGCTAAAATAATTTAATGACTTGGTCATAACCTAATTACTTACGTATTTTTGCTATGACTGTAGTCATTTTTTTTGTATTAAAAAGGTTATTATAAAAAATATAACTTTGGAAGTGTTGACCGCTAGAATTTATTTAAAAACATACCCTACTTACTTTAGTATGTTTATTTAATCTGTAGTTATTCCTTTTAAAAAAGGAAAGGTTTCTTCAGACAATATCACATAACTTTGGGTGGGCATAGCCTTTTTACTTGAAATTTTTTACTTCAGTTATTCACTCTTTTTATATTCTTAAAAGTTTTTTTACAATTGTAATTAACTGTAAGAGTGTTGTTCACTAGAATTTATTATATTAATTATAAAGTTACTGGTTGAAGCACACCTTAGAGGACTTTTTGTGACCATTATTTTTTATCCAAGTCAAACAGATCAACTTTGTAATGAAGGATACTAATTATTAGTATAAAATTTTTATTATTATTATTTTTCTTTAATTTAATAGTAGGTTTTATATAGTAACTATGTTATAGACTGCAGAAAGTGGATTTGTATTTATTCAATAATTTGGTCATAACGTAAAACCTTTAAAGATATTGTCGGAAAAAAATTTGTTTTTTTCTGTCTGAAGTGTAACAGATGCAATTTTATTAAGTGCTTATAGATGAAACTTTAGATCACAAAGGAAATGTCCCAAAAGCTATTAATATTTTTCTGTCTGGAAGAAAACCAGATGTAAATAATATACGCCTTGAAAATTTTTTAAACCTACCTAAAACTTTATTTAACTTTTTAGTTCCGAATATCTCTAAACTACGCTAAATGCAATTAAAGAGAACAGATAAATATCTACTTTGCTTTACTTTCAAGGGCTTAAAGATGTAACTTTATAATAAGAATATATTATATATAAACTGTTATATATTATTTTATAACTTTATTTATAACACCAAATAGAGAGAACTTTCTTAATTTGAGTTGGCAAAGAGACTACTTCGAATTTGTTATATAGTGAAAACAAACGTAACTCTTACATTCTCTTTTAAGCAGGACATAGGAGTAATAAGAAGTTTACAAGCTAAAAAAGGTTTGCCTTGTCAAATAAAAAAAAAATTTTAATAACTTTCTGCGAAATTTAATAAAGTTCACACCGATAAATTATTTTATAAGCGGGCAGATTTTTTTAAAAAAAGTGCGCAAATACGTGATTATGTTTATATTTAAAAGTTGTTTAACGAATTTTTATGTATATAATTTTTATTTTAATGTTAAAGAAACCTTACATCCCGCAGGAAGTATGCAAATCCTTAGCAGAATACGCAGTTGAAAAAATTTGTTATAAGGAACTTTTATAGAAATATAATACTTTATATTGATATTAGATGATTTAGTGGCTGAAATGTGAAAAAGATTAGTTAGAATCTATCAATTAATTAAAGTCGTCAGCGACGCTACTACACAACTATGTTCAAAAAAATAAATTACGCACTAGATCAGTGTAGCAAGGTAGCTTTGTGAGAGACCCAAGAGTTGCTTGGTCAACACGTTGATTGAGCGAGGCACTTGAGGGATAAATCTCTGTTTAGGAACCTATAAAACCACTTATGAGTTGTTACGGTATAAGCCTCACAAGTTTTAAAAAGTTTATCTAGGCACGTGCGCATACAGTTTACTTAAAAACTTCTATAGTACTAATTAAAAAATTAATAATTATCAAATTAAATTTAATAAAAAAGATTCTGATTAAAAATAATTATTTTTTCAAGTTACGATTTCTAAACTTTTTAATGGTTCACTCTACTGGCCTCTTAAATATTATTAAAGATTCCAAAAGGATTTGAATGCTATAAACAAACAATTATAGAAAAGGAGTAAATATTAAATAAGATTTTTATTAAAAACGGTTCTAAGCACCGAACGTCATTATTTTTATGTAAATATTTAAACTCGTTTCATAAAAAGTAAAGCTTGTCTCCTTAAATTTTTTTTACTTTTGTTGTGTTTACTCTCACACGTGGTTCAAATTAAACCTTAGCGGTCAATAAAAGGTAATACAAGATGCTTAATTGAAGGTGGAACAGCGATTCACACGCTCATCATGAAGGGCAAACCTAAAAGACTTCCTTTTTTTTTTTAGAGTCTTTGCAATTGGTCGGTAAGTTGAGCACAGTTTGGCCTATATTGTACACCTCCAGGGGAGTATCATGACAACTCCGTTTTCTAGGGTGGAGTAGGTGGATAGCCTTCTGTTCCACCGTAGTACTAACCAAGTCCCTGGAGATTTGATCTCAGATCGGACGAGTTGAACACTAACCCTTAATTCTAAATTCATAAGAGGAGCTTATACATGCTTTTATCTGGTACCGGCAGTTTAGAATTGATACCAATACCCACTCTAATTGCACACTTTTTAAAACTACCAAAAAAAATTATAATATGCAAAAACTCATTAGTGTACAATGAAAAAGAAAAAAAGTTTAATATTAAAAAAAAGCGGTCAATTAATAAACACTGTATACTATTATATTTTCCATTTAATATTAATTAAAAAAAGGCTTATTTTAAAATAAAGTTATTCAGAATCACTAAACAAAGTTTCCAGTTCAGCAATTGTATCCGGCTCGTCTGCAGGATTTCCAGAAAATTCTTTTGCAAATTCACTGATAAATATACATATAAATAGGACAAAAAATATTATTATAAAACAAAAAAATGCTGAAATTAAAACGAAAGAGACTCATATAAATATAAAGATATAATACTTTACTTTATACTAACTAAAACCTTAAAGACTTTGGGCGGCCACGGGAGCTGAAGTCGATTTGTATATCTTCAATATCTTCATTGTCGTATAATGACTGATATTTTTCAGCAAAGGATAGTTTATTATTATTATTATTATTATTAGTAGTAGTAGTAGTAGTAGTATTAGTATTGATATTAGTATTATTAGTACTATTACTATTATTATTACTATTATCAGTTATAAAGTTTTGGTTAACAGAACGCCATCTATAAAAAAACTCATCTATCGGAGTTTGTTTAGATGTAGAAGTCATATTTGCTTTCAAAACATTAAGTCGCTCGAAGCCAATAAAAACTATAGTTTTTTTAATCTGTCCAATCATAGCATCAACTTTTATAACAATTACGTAAAAAACGCAAACCAGAGATAACAACTGCTTCAGTTCTCTAGAAAGACGAAGATTTTTAGTGTTTAACAAAAAGTGCTTCAGCTGAACCATCACCGGCAAAGCAAGCTCTGGAAAAGCCACGTGATAGGACGATTCAGAAAAATATGCGTAAAGCTCGTGTATAACCGAGTTTATAACAAAGTCCTTCAAAGTATTTAATGATAATATATATATAATTATTATATATTATTAATATATTAAATTAACTTTTAAAAACCAGGATTAGCCAAAAAGTTACTAGTAGAGGCGTATAAAATTAAACTTATGCAGTTCATAATAATGATATGTAGAAAAAAGTATATATATAGAAAGAAATAAACTGTAAATACAATATAAAAAAAATATAAGTAAACTTGAAATAGTTTGCTCCCAAGAAAGTTTTTCTTAAACCGTAGAGTAAATTCAGTATCAGTTGCTTTAGAAGAAAAGTTTTGCGGTTTATTTTTAACGTAAACGGATCCTAAAACCTGCAATAAAATAAAAAAACTTGATAAAACTTAGTCATTAAACAAATAAAATAATATAAGCATTTATAAATATTTTTAAATGACTTGAGAATACTCTCTAACATATTTTTAAGTAAAAAAAATTTTATCAGCACTTTTGAAGAGTAGACATAAGCATAACAGGGCTATCGTAAATGTTTTAGCTACATTGATGGCCATACAAAAATGACTTCTAAATTTATACAATGCAAACCTTTAAAACTTTAATAATAAAAGTTTTTTACGTATTTGTAATGCCCAGAAATGTATAACTGCATTTAAAATGTTATAAAAAATATTAATTATATACAAATTTCCCATTGTAAAATTATAAAAGACATAAGAAAAGGCTATAAAAAAAAATAAAAATCACGAACTTCCGTTATAAAATGAAGCATTGGTATAAAAGGGGATCCCGAAGGCGACAATTCTCTTAAAGCTTTTAAACAGTGAAAACGAAGGGGAAAGTACTGGGCAGTAGGAATCAATCTGTAAAGAAAAATAATAATAATAGTAATAATAATAGGTAATATAATAGTACTAACTTTATAGTTGCGATTAAAACTTGAGCTGCAGGATAGATCAACTCTTTTAAAACTTCTTTATAAGTAGAAATAATACGGCAGAGTAATTTTATGGAGCTTATGTATTGCCAGTTATAAATCTAAATAAAAAAAATAAATAGAAGTAAAACTATAATAAAATAAGTTAAAGTAATTTTTATAAAAGTTGCATTAAAAATTAGCATGCGCAAAAGTGTATTATATTATAAGCTATAATTATTACCAAGAATAAAAAATGATGTAAAAACTTTTGATGCTCAATAATGATTAAGTTCTTTAAAAAAAGCTAAAAAAAAAAAAAAAAAACAAACTTTTTGGACGGTCTCCTTTTTAGTGGTAGTCATTGCAATGCGCATCAATACGGCAAGTTGACGAATGTAGCGAAACACGTGTTCATAAGCTCCAGAAATATGCAAACCAAATATCTCAACACAGCAATTTTCCTATAGACAATAGTAAATTCTTAATACTGATATATATAACATTCAGTACGTTACATATAACAGGATATACATAATTATTAGTTATAGTAAAACTATATATAACCAATATACTAAACATATTAAAATATAATAAAATAAATACTTGTAAGTATTAGTAAAAGTATAAAATAACCAAACTAATTATTACACCTTCTCTTACATATTAATAAAAATATAAAATATGCCCCTATTGTTATCAGTAAAACTATAATATATATATATATATATTACAGTCATTACTTTTTATATATAAAAAAATAATAAAACATATACTTGTTGATATTATTAAAACTATGAAAGAACCATAAACTGTAAAGCCGAAGAAGTGTGTTTTGATAGAAACTTTGAGTTTTTTACGTAAGTGGAGTAAAGCCCTTTCAAGCAGAATTTCCGCATATGCGGATTTTCTGGCGAATGGACGTTCGTGGTTAAACTTTTTTTTTTAGCTCAAACCATTCAAAAATGGCAAACCTTGAGCAACGCAGTGAATGCATAAATAGGAAAGGACGCGAACATGGGCTTCAGAGGACTCCCAGCTGCTCATGCAGATCTATTAATGATATACGCAACGATTTAGTGATAAAAAAAAGAAAAACATAAAAATTATAAGTAAATTATTAGAAATACAACAAAACTTTCTAAAAAATTTCTATATAAAAAAGTTAAAAGAAAATGAAATTACATTAAGTATTTTCCTTTTTCTATTTATTATATTACTTCAATATAAAATATAAAAAGTATCGAAGTATATAGAAGCCTTAAATATAAATTAGAATAATAAAAACTATACAAACACAAAAAAAAGAATATAAGACACATTTTAAAAATTAATGAAAAAAACCATTTCAAAAAAAATTGTATAAGAAATATAGTAAACAATAAATTTTATGATTATAATAACGAAGATAATAAAGAAAAATGGTTTCTAATATATTAAAAGGACTAGGCGAGAAGTAAAAAAAATAAAATAAAAAATTTATTATGCGGACCCCCAAGTTTATCCGTTTAAGGTAGTCAACTTATTTTTTAATTAAACTAATTAAAAGCTTCGAATTTAAAATCTAGTCAATGACCTGTCTTTTTTTTCTAATTGAGCAAAATTTATTGGTATTATTGCTAATTTTTAAAATATTAGCTAATAAAAAAGTTATCATTATAAAAAAAAACTAGTCAATTGTACGTTTTCAAATTTTTTTTAAAGTATACTTCGTTTGTTGGTCTACAAAAATGACGTAAGGTTATTAAATTTTAGTTAATCTTGCTATATATTAATTAGTAATACAGCATTAATAAAAATATAAAATTATAAAAACATTTATAATTATAAATATATAAGATAAAAAGAGATCCAAAAAGTATGAACAAAATAATAAATATTAAAATAAAAAGTTTAATTTAATTTTTTTATAAAAATAAACTTCATATAACAATGCAACAAAATAAAAAAAAATTCATAAAAAGTAAAGAAAGTTTTATAAACAAAAGTGATTCTGTATACAATTCCAAACTAAATATTAGTATGATTATAAAATTATAGAAAAAAAGGTTTAAAAACTACTGAAATTTTTTGAAAAAATATGTAATCCTAATAATAAAAATATTAACGCCAGTAAATAATTATTATGTTAAAAATATTAAAAATTCTATAAATTAAATATAATTCTAAATCGATTCCAGACAATTCCGAGGAATGCAGTCAAGACTAGAAGCTAATTTATAATTTCGTTTATAAAAAACAAATTCCAGAGGGAATGGAAAAAAATTGATATTATTTCGATTTAATATAGGATTCCAGGAAAATAAAAGACAAACTGTTATTAAAAAAAATATTATTTAAAAATAAGTAGAGCATCTAACAAAACATGTTCAAATTTTTTTTAAAGGTCATAAATATATATTATATATACTAAATATAATTAATATGAATTGCAGAAAAATATAGAAAAACTTTTAAAATATAAACTAAAATTTAATCGAGTGAGTTTACTGCGAGTTATAACTTTAAATAATCTAAAGAAAAAACAAAATTATCTTTTCATAATAAAATTGTTGTATTGAAAAATATTAAAAAATTAATTAAATCGTCAGATTATTATTGAAATTATTAAAAAAACTTAAAAGATTAATGTTTATTCAGATCGAAATTTATAATAAAAACTGAGAAAAACTAAATTTACTTTATAAAATAATATTAAAACAAGATTAGGAATAGTAAAATAAAAAAGAAAAAAACTAAATAGAAGAACAATACAAAATACTAAAGTGTAATCAAAAGATTTATAAAAAGTTGATTTAAATTAAAAAAATTAATTTATTTATATTACAAAAAGAGTTATTATAATACCTTGACAAGAACTCTCTGTAGCTTCGGAAAGCAAAGATAATAGGTAAGATACAAAGGAATACGACGAAGTATAAAGGCTAGAATGGTGGGCTCACAGTTCGTCTTGAGAAGATGTAAAAGATTGGATAAAAAACTTTTTATTACAGTTTTGCATTTGTGCCATTTTTTGCTAATTGTTGGATTCTTTTTTTCACTAAATTATGTGATAGTAAAAAAAGTATTATTAGTTCAATAAAGCGATAATATAGATGCTCAATATTATTTCTTATAAACAAAAAAATATGCATTCTAAAAATATATTTTATTTTTTTAACTATTATAAAACAATTAATAGTCATTTAGTTTTCTAATTTATAACTTATGTTTATTAATAATTATTATATAAAAAGGTAATTGTTATTAATATATAGTATAAAATAGTAATTTATTTAAGTAATACTACAAAATATAATATACAAATAATATCAAATATTATATATATAAATATATTTAACAAAAAACCTATTAGAAATGCAAAGATGGTAATCAAAGCTGGAACAAACATGGTCCAACGTAAAGGTAAGAACTTTTTTAAAAACTGCGGGATCGTTAATGGTATAATAGCAATCAACTGGCTCACTTAATAATATAATAAAAAATAACTAAGAGAAATTATAAATTATAAAACCGAAAAAAAACTTTAATGAAATATAAAAAAGAACAAATAAAAAAATTTGAAAATTTACGTTAAAAAAAAGTAAAGTTAATTAAAAACATGAATTTCAACCTTATATGGCATATATCTTTAAAAATTCTAATAAATTCTTTAAGTGCAAAGAAAGAATGTTCTTCAAAAGCTCTTCTAATCAAGTAATTAACTTCTTTAAGATAAAGGACTTTCTAAAAAAAATAATATGAAAAAAATTAAAGGATTATATATAAAAGAAAATAATTTATATAACAAGCAGGAAAAGTACATAATAAAAAAAACTTTTTATAAATTATAATATTTAGATAAAAAAATCAAATATAATTAAAACGTTAAAAAAAAAAGGTAATTTTTGAAAAACCTTCTCCAATTTAACTTTTCCATCCGATATAGAATCGTTAACCGTTTCACTCATAGTCTTATCATTGCTTTGACCTTTAATAACTTCTTTTCTTTTACCTAAAGTATGTTCAACTTCCTCTTCTGTTCCACTAACTGGTATCAAAACGAGATAAAAAAAATTGTTATTAGAAAATAATTATAAAATTTTACCATCCTCTCCTTCTGAGGAATATGAAAAATTAAGTAAATCCGGATCGTTTTCCTGAAGATATTTATAAAATTCAGGATCTTTATCAGCTAGTTTCTTGGAAGAAGAACCAGATTTGGAAAAAGAAACACATTTTTTCTTCTTAATTACATAGTATTAAGTAAATAACTTATTAAATATAATAATTTTATAAAACCTTTACTGTGCTCACTTGATTGTTTAACTTTTTCCTTTTCATATTTACTTATAATATATAATTAATAAAATAACTCCAAAACAAGACTAGAAGGATAAAAAAATATAAAATTATACCACCCCATAAGCGGATAATTGCTGATGCATCAAACAATGATGATTAGTATATTTTTAAATTAAGCACATGCTTTTACGCAGTTATAAATGCGGAACACAACCCGCTTAGTAGTAGGAGCTTATTAAGATTGTGCCTTTGTTTTGTTTGTCATTTAATGTAAAGTTGCTTAGAAGTTATATAAACGTGCATTTTTTTACTTTTTTCAGATACAATAAATAAATACTTTTGAGACGTATTATTATATTATTTTTATCTAACCTTTGGCTTGTGAAAAAGAGGATTAGCGATAAGTGTTTTAAAAGTGGTTGTTATATACCTAACCTAAATTTAATAAAATGGCGCAGAGAAAGTAAAGGCAAGAAAAAATATTACAAAAGGAACCGTTAAGAAAGCAAACTGTTATATATGTAGTATCATAAAATAATTTAAGGCAAGTTTATAAATAAAAAAGTAAAAAATTTACGCAATTATTTTGCAACTTGCTTTTCTGTGACCACTATAGTTGTACAACATGGATTATTTGACGCCATAATTAAAATAATTCATCAAACTTTTTTTTTCCCCAATGTTTTAAAAGGGCTATGCTAGTTATAATTAGCTTATTCGTATATATTAAGTTCAAAGTTCTGTTGGTAATCAGCTGTAATTGTTATTGCTTAAAGTCTTAAGTTAATCTGCAAGCTAAATCGAATGCGTCCGTGACTATTTCACTGATAAATTGTGCAACTTTTTTATAACCTCTATTTAGTATATCTGTCTGTATACTATATACATAATTCGCAATATTATTTTTCTCATAAAAAGTACGGTCTTCAAGTGTTCCGAGAATATAATAGAAACGCGTGAGAATAACTAAAAATAATTTAATTTTTTTACTGCCCCATATAAGTTATTATCTATACCTTCACAAAGAATTTTAGTTATGTACAAAAAATAAAACAAAAATTAAAAAAGTTATTTATCATAGTTCATCTCAGTGTAAAACAGTTCATTAAACAACTCACAATTTAAGAAAAAGACACACCCTACACTAGTTATTGGTACAAAGATCATTATAAGACGGTAAAATCACATTTCATAATATGTACATAATGAAGACAGTTGCAGTATTTTGTTCTAAAAAAATTGATAGTACTAAAAAAACAAAGAAGTTTGCAAAGTCTTCCACTTTTACCGTAAGCTATAAGTCTGTTACTTCCCTCTAACCGAATTGTACCGCCACGCGAGGAGATGTGAGTGGCACGTACACCAGTTTTTTAAATAAATTTTTTAACGATATATTCTCGCTCAACAGAATTTTTAGTATGAAATTATATACATAATAATATTTCATTTAATGTTTGTTTGAAGTATCCTGGATTTCACAATTTTATTTTTTTTATTAGTCTTTATTTAAATGGTTTAAAACTTAATTACTTTCTATGTGATAGTATTATTTTACTTGCGTAAAGCCATGTTCACTTTCACTAAAACCATATTTATTTATAGATCTTTTTTCATATATTAGTAACTTCCTCATTATATATCCTTGTGTAACCAGTTAGCGATTACCTTAAATTATTACTAATCACAGAATTTTACTATACTCGGACACTGAATTACATCTGTTTTTCTTCTTTTCTTTAAAGTATATGGTAACTTTAGTCTCTTTAAGCTTATATATATTATAAGTCTTTGTATTTTTAGGTTTCACCTGATAGTCAAGACTTCAATTACTCCGAAAGATCCACAGAAAGTTCAATTTTTATTATTTATAACTAGCTATTATAAGGCTTTCCTCTTTATTGCGATTACTAATTTATAAATTACACAGAGAAGAAGAGTTATGAGAATAATGAAGCAATTTTAAACAACTCTACTGAAAACACTGATATATCTATATCAAGTTTCTTTTATAAATATTAATTTCTTTTTTTAAATTATCTATTTGTTAGATTTTTCATGTCAGGGTAATACAGCTGAAAAAAGAAATCATGAACCGCTTGATGAAGAAGAGAAAAGAAGCGAAAAACTTAGTAATCCGGAAAATAAACTTGAAACAAGTAAAATATTTAAATCTACTGTTTTGGATGACGAGAATGAAAAAGTTACAAACGGTAACTTATATAATTAAGATTACTTTTTTTTACTAGTAAATTGATAATCGAACAGTATTTATGTAGATTATTATTTTTTTTTAGAGAAGCAATCTCTTTTTTCTGCTGCCGCTAATAAAGCGAAAGAGTCTGGTTTGGTAGAAAGTAAGTTCTCCGGAAGAAATTTACATTTAAATTTTATTATTTAATTTAATTTTTAATTTTTTTAAACCAAAATTTTATAATTTTTAATTTTAAGGGTTTATAATTTTTCATTATAATAAATCTTTTTTTTAAATTTACTAAAGAAGGCGGGTTTAGTGGCGGCCTCTTTTGCAAAGATTCAGAAAATTTAATTTCTTCCTGTTCGAATATATTTAAATCTCCGAATTCCAGATCAATCTTTTCAGAAAGCGCTAACCTTTTAAGCGCTGATAATAAAAGTTTAACTAAATCGGAAGAACTAATTGATTTTGAAAAAGTTTTTTATATATATTATATTATAAGCTATTTCTTATCTTTTTGTCTTTATTAATTTAAAATTTAGTCTAAGGAAGTTTTATAATATTTATTTTTAGAAAGTATTTACTATTTGATTATATTTTCTATAATTTTTAATTTTGATAAGTAGATTTTTATTTTTGGCCTAATAATTATTATAAGACAATTTCTGCTTATTTTTTATATTCAAAACTGTCAATTGTTAAATCTAATTTAAAGAGTAAATTAATTATTTTTATTTTTAATTTAAATTTCTTTTATAACTTTTAAATGCATAAATTATATTTATTTTAAATTTTTGGCATTTTATTAATTGAACTTTTTTTTATCAATTTAACTAACTTATTATTATATATAAAGTAAAGTTTTTATATTGTATATTGTTTGAGAGTTTGAATTTAGAAGAATTATCTTTTAATTGATGGTTATAGTGAACTTTTGGCTAAACATAAAAAGTTTATATTTCAGTTAATAAAAAGAATTAATTGTGGATTTTTATATGTAATTTTTAAGGTAATTTATTAATTTTTATATATTTTTTTACCTTTTTTGAAATTTTTAGTGAAAATTTAGTTTTATATTAAAATAATCAACCTTTTTTAGATTAAAATAAGAACTGGTTAAATTTTTTTTAAAGTCTAGATTTTACTTTTCTTACTTTTTATATAAATTTTATAAATACTTATTGTAGTTCAATTCTATTTTTTTATTTTTTATTTATAAAAGGAGTTTTAGTTATAAAGAATGTAATTTTTAATTTTTTACGAGGAAATTTAGTTTTAAAAAATAAGTAAATATAGAAATAAAAATAAAAAAGAATTACATGAAGGAAATATATTAAGGAAGACGTGATAGATGTTGATAAATATTATTTTAAAATTATTATAAGCAGTATTAATAAAAGTTTATAATACTAATAAATATATATTAACTATAATAAAAAAATCAATTTAGCCGTTTTCTATCTTTTTTTTAAAAATCTTCTGTAAATAATTATTTTTAGTAAAATTTAAAAAATAAGTTGTAAAAACTAACAAGTTTATAAAAAGATGGTATTGCACAGAAAAGATTTTTTACTAATTTATTTTTAGTTAACATTAATATCATAAATATTAAAATTTATATTTATTAAGAGAAAAATTATACTTAATATTGAAAACAGTTTAGTAAAAAAATAATAATTTATTTTTAGGAATATATAAAATAATTTTAAAAGTTACTTTGAAAATCATTTATTTTTTTGTACTTAAAATATAATTATATTAAATTTTAAGAAGAAAAGAAATTAAAAGTATAATACTCTACGTATAGATAGATTTTAATAGTTATATTATATATAATTAGTTTTTTTTAGATTTAAAGAAATTTAATTTATTATTATTAATTTATTTTAAAAAATTAAAAATTTAGGTTTTTCCTATTTCTATGTTTTTACTTTCATTATAAATTTATTTTATAATTATTACATTTAATTGTTTATATATTTTTTTTATTAATTTAAGAAGAGAAGTTTGTTAAAATGAGTAATACTATATTGTTAGGCATTTTAGTATAAATGTTTTTTTGCCTTAAAAAATATAAATTACTTTTGATTTATTTTTTGAAGTTATCAATTTTTTGTTATTATTTTTAATTTTTTTGTAATTTTCTTTTAAAATAATTTTGCAAATTTTTTTTTTTATAGAAATTAATTTTTGCTTTTTTAAATTTAGTTTTTAGTTTTATATTTTTTATTATTAATATTATATTAGATTTAAATTTAAATTCTTTTTTAAGTTTAAATTTTTTTATTATAGTGATAGATATTATTATAATTATTATTTTTGAATTAAGATTGGTAAATCTTTTTTAAGTTCGTAAATTTTTTAAATTTATTAATTTGTTTTTATTGTTTTTTGATTTTAGTTATTATTTTTTATCAGTTGCCATATAAAGTTTTAAATTTTTGAATCTGTTTATTTTTCTTTTGATTTTAGTTTTAAATATTAAAAAAAACAAAACTTATTATTATTTTTGTTGTAAAGTTTGTAAATTATTAAAGTTATTTATTTTTTTTATAATTTTAATTATATATTATGCAAATTTCATATTTTCATCGTAAAACATTAACATAAGGTTTATTTTCTTTTAAAGAAAATTGCTTAGCTAATAATTATATTTTTATTATTTATAAAATTTTCCACTTATTTTATTAGTATTATTATTAGTACAAATTTATTGTATATTGTTTTTCAATCTTTATAGGAATTTATTATATATTAGTAAATAGTTCACTCATGTATAATAAATAATTTTTATAATTCCCCGAATTGTGCTTTATATTTTTTATATAATAAAAAAATATAAATTTATATATATATATAAAAAGTATTCCGAAGCGAATAGTAAAGCATCGAAAGATACAGAACCGACTTCCTTTCTTTACGATCATGGTAGTCTCTATAAATTTATTTTCGATTATTAAAAAATTATATTGCACTTTTAATTTTTTTTATAAACATTATTATTGATAGTACTAAAAGATGTTTGTAAACAAGAAATGAAGACCGGAGAAGAAGACGAGGAAAGTTTATTATCGGTTTTCATATTGTTTTTGTTTACTTATTATTTTTATTAATTATAATATATATACATATTATTTATATTATTAAAGTTTTTTCCACTTCTCCTAATTTCCACAAAAAAAATTTTTTTACTTTTTTTTTATATTATTTTGTTTTGTTTTCAAGTAAATTTTATTTACGGTTTTAATATTGATTATAATCATTTTATTATAAGAAAGTTACATATATTTCTATTATATTTACTTTTTAATCATTTAAAACAAAATATAACGTTTTATTTTTTTAATATTCTTTACTTATTTTATTAGTATATTAATTTTATATATTTTATACCGCACTTGTTTCGTTTATTATTAATTGAAATAAATTAATTTCATTTTTTTACTATTTTTTATAATTATTATTTTTTAATAAAATTTATTGTTTTCCATATTGATTATAATATTTTTATTATTAAATGTAACGTTTTTATCAATTATACTTTATATTTATGGTTTTATTTTTTACTTATTAATATTACCTTAATTTACCTTTATTCTATTACCATTATTATTTTGTTTTTCAAGTGTTCCTGTAAACTTTTTCGTTTGAAAGACGATCAAAGTTGGGCTTGTTTGGGCGACTGCATTATTAAAGTTAACCGAACTAAAGCGCTTCCTTTTCGCTCGAGAATTGGTTTCTGCTATAATATATTTTTTATTTATTATTATTTTTTATATTTCCTAACAGTTTGCCGTTCTAAAAATGTTAAAAAGTTACTGCTAAACGCTAACATCTGTGCGGGAATGGGCGTTCGGAAAGCGAATCTTCGAAACATCGTATTAACTTTATTTGAGTCGACCATCGAACCCGGCGCGACTGTCCGATATCGCCTTCAGACTTACCTTGTTCGGGTGTTTTTTTTTTAATGTAGGAAAGAAAAAAAATTTTAGTAATATTTTGATTATAATTTAGGCAAACGCGCAAGATACTGAAAAGTTTTATGATACCATTATAACTTTAATTTCAGATAAAAAAGAAAAAGAAAAAGAAGAGAATAATAAACACGAAAACTTTGAACAATAATAAATAGAAGTAGTTAAAATTTATAATAAAGTTTATTATTATAAGTTCGTAATTTTGGCAAGGACGGGAGAACACTTTTCATTGGTGGATGCTTTTAGGGAATCTTTTATTACTGCGATCACTTCTTTTTCTGAATGGCTGGCAGCCCATTCGATATACTTAAGCAAAGACCACCCGAGGTGCACGTGAGGCGCCGTATATTTTTCTGGCGCTCGACTCAATATGTAATGCGCCACGTTGACCGCCCCGAGCGTCTTGCTTAAGCGGCTGTTGTCCAGTAGCTCCAGTTCAGACGAGAAAAGGTTTTTTACACCAATTAATAGCCCGTGCGCCAAGTAAACGTGATGAACGCGGCGTGAAACGGGGGCAAGCATGATGTTCATTACCCTTTCAAAAAGTGAAATGTCGCCAATAACATTGCTTTCAGGCCGGGAATCAGACGGGAGCAGACAGATAGTTAGAATAAAAAACTCGCAGCAAGCCACTACTAACTTTTTCCTCCACGAGAGTAGAAGTTCAGGAGGCTCAAAGCGGGAAAGAAACTTTGCCTCATAGTTTTCTACAAACGCCTTTAAATTTATAATATACTCGGACTCGCCTGCAATAGGCGCATCGTAGTCTTCCTTGTGCATTTTTAGTATAAGACTTTTCATATAGGCGAGAGTGGCCTCGAACAAATGGGTGAGTATATGTGTTACTGCTTGCTTAATGTTAGTCAACATGCTCGTAAAGGAACTTTTGTAGCAGGGGAATTCAGCTTCTTTAGCAAAAAAATAAAATACTCTGAGAGCTTTAAAGTATATGTTTGCTACTGCTATTACGCGTATCTGCAGGGAGGAGGGGCTCGTGTCTATTGCTGCGTATGCCTCTTTTCTTTCAGGAGTGAATGTTTTCAATTTTTTTAGAAGAGAGTCAAAACTTATGGTTATGGAATCGACTATTCCTTTAAAGAGATCAGGCACTTTTTTTGAGTGTCGTAGTGCTCTTAAAGAGGTGTGAAGCAGCTCAGTCACGTTGTCGTTTATAGTAGAAAGACTTTTCTGCTGTGCAACTCCAGAAGTGATATTGTTAACATTTACAAGAAGTCGATCATTAAAAAGAGACAAAAAACTTTTCTCAAAAGCATTTGGAAAAGAAATTTGCATAAGGAAGGAGCCAAGAGTTTGAGCAAGTTTGGGATAATCAGTTTCAATCTCTTTTTTTAAATTAGATGTTTTTATAAGATCATCTAAGGAGGCAAATAACGTTTGGCAGCCATACTTTTGGAAATTTTCAGCAAGAAAATAAGTCTTATCAGAATAGTTTTTTTTAGAATCTTCTCTATTAAAAAGAATAACCTTATTATTTAAGGCATCTTCAATAAAATTTAGCTTTTTAATGGATTCATTTAGAGTTTCTACCAGTTTATTCAAGTGTTTCCAGAAGTCATCTACTTTAAGTTCTGAAGAAATACGCTTTTTAACTTTTTTAAGAAAAGAAATTTTAAATTTCTCTTCTATATCCACCACTATACCCTCAACTTTTTTAAAGTTTACAAGAATCGTAAGCGCCTTTGTAATATCTCCTTTTTCATAATTACGTACTCCATTTAACAGTTGATCTGTAGCAGCTTTTAAAATCTTCTCTTTTTCTGCGTTAACTGCAATGATAATAGGATTTATTACCTCTATAGTAGTAACTTTATCTAAAGGAAGTTTTTCGATCTCATGAATGCACTGAGCCTCTAAAAATACATTAATTCTTGGCTTAAAATAAAAAAAATTATACATAACTTACTTCTAACGTCATCTACTCCCTCCTCGAGCTTTTTAGAATTTATTAAAATTAAAAGTCTAAATTAAATTTTCTTGAGTTTAAAATTTTGAGATTAAACTTTCTATAATAAAACCTCCTCACTGTTCTTAATAACTCCGAGGCATTGTGAAGACGTTGAATTTTTTTATATAATTGAGAAATTTTCTTGTATGAATTTTCTATATCTTTTTTAACTTCTTCTTGCGTTTTATACAAACTTTCTACTGTTTTAAAAATTATTTGAGAGTTGTCATCCAAAGCTTCTACTTTTGATGCTTGATTAAGCAAAATATCATAATTTGTAAAAACCTAACCTTAACCAGTTAATACTGTTACAAAAAAATTTCAAGTTAAGATACCTCCCGCTTTAACTTTTGTTCAAGTTTTACTTGGAACTCATTTAGGCTCTCCAGCAAAATAACCATATCCTCCGTGGAGGAAACCTTAAAGAATTGGATATCTTTACAATACACAATGGGGCTCTTTAACGAAAAAGAAAGCTATAAAGTAATATACGTTTTGAAAAAGTAACTTCTGGTCAAAATTTTCCTTATAAAATTGGTTAAAATTCTCTTCGAAACTATTTTTTTTTTGAGAGAGAGAATCCTTAATAAAAGATTATATATTAGCTACACCGCGCCATTAGTTAGAGCGTTACCATTAAACTTTTGTGTTTCCTCAAGTTTCCTTAGCTGGGTTATTTGAATGAGAAGCAAGTAAAGAGTATTTGAAACTTCTTTATCGAGCTGGATTAAAATAGCTCCTTAGCTTAAGATTTCGTATAGCGAAACCCGTATTGGTTTGTAAAGGTTTTTATATAAAACTTCTAAAACAGGGCGCTTGCTTAATTTAAAATTGTCGTATTATACTTTACTTTAAGCTCCTTTAAAATAAGCTCCAGAAAGCAATAATAATAGTAAGTTTGCAACCGTTAGTCTTTTTATTGAGCAATCTTGAATATTGTAAGTATTTTTTCCCACTCTCTTTGGGTTTATGTCTAAAATTATAAAGTAAAAGAAGCTTTAAAAAATAAGAAAATTGGGTTACCAACTTACATGATTGATAAAGAAGTTATATATTTACTGACTTTCTAGAAAACTAAGCTTAACTATGGCTAAATAAAAATTTGTTACTGGGATAAAATTAGGTTTATTTTATATTTATATATAGCGTTTCCTGGCACTCGTTCAAGTTAAAAATATAGCTTTGTAAACTAGCAGTTATTTTTTCTCATAAACTAAATTTCATTAAACTTCTAGTTGTTTGAGTAAAGCTGCAATATTTTAGATTGCAAGGATTATTACTCTAAATGAGTTCAAAATAATTACTTATATTTTTAAGAATATGCTACTGCCGTGATTATGAGCCAGAAAATGTTTTGTCTATATAAATATTGTTTGGCAAGCGTAACATTGAGTTTGCATAGCTATTTATTTAAATTTTTGTTTTATTATTTTGTTAAATTTTTAATACTTTACGTTATAACAAATTTATATTTAATTGATATAAAAAAAATTAATACATTTTGTTATCAGTAATTAAATATCAAGAGTAAATTTTATAACTAAAATTATAAATAAACATTTTTGAAAAGTTTTATTTATAACTGTTATCATTATAAAATTTTTTACTCACAATCTGGGCGGTATAACAACGCTGGCCATTTTATTTTACTACTTTCTGCCAGTGACTACAGCTCAGCTTTGATTTAGTTGGTTTAAACAATTTTTATTACGACAATCGCAAATTCTAATATACTTCATCTTATATGCAAGCTTCTAAACAGTTATTTAATTTGTTCTGATTTCACATAAGAGTCTGAATCTGTTACCTTTGTTATAATAAAATTCCTGCCGCTTAACTTTATGAATATTCCAGTTTCTATAGCCTCTTGGTTTTAACCCCTTTATTCTCGTGCTTGCAAAGTTTTGAATTAAAGTCTTTATTTTTTTGTTAGAAGCCCTTGCTTGTTTACTTTTTAATGTCCGACTATTACATTTTTAAGTTATTAGTAACTTTTATTTCTAGGGTAATATATATTTAAATTGCAATAGACCTACTGTATTAGTCTTCCAAAATACCTTTCCCCAGTTATTATCCCTATTAACCTCAGTAGATAAAAAGCCCGCCTCCTTAGGTAACTTAAATGACTTGTATAATTAACGGCAACTATATCAAAGAGGCTGAGCCCTGTATATAACAAATACTTTTTACGCTATTTATTTATATTAAATTAAAGACTAGTTGTAGTACTCTTTATCCTAAGAGAAGTACATTTTAATTTTTTAGCATAATTTTAAGTGCATATAGGCTGAAATACTAGTTTAGATTAACCGCAACATCTAAAGGAAATGCAACGAACTGGGAAAGATTAACACGTTTTAAGCGTACACAGGCTCGACACTACCTGATGAAATATATGTAAGGTTTAAACTAAAGTCTGTCTACACGGTTTTCCTTTAAATCGACCTATGCGATCCTTTTTTGAACTGCCGGACCGTGGGTAGCAAACAAGCAAAGAGTGAAAAAAACACCCACCCGAACAACTACAGGCAAAAAAAAGAGGAGCTTAAAGAGAAAAACCCTGACATTTTTTTTTATGACGCCACAGTGAGACCCACACTCTTCATAGACCGCCTCTGTCATGACTCCCTCGAAGGACTGAAAAGCGGAAATTACCGGGCTGGCCCCCGGCCATTCCGTCATGGTGGAAAACCGCCAAAAAAAAACAACAACGAGAGGAGAGACAGCCCAAGGCACACGACCCAAGGCAACCCGGAGACACTAGCCAGCACCACCGCAAGCCAGGCACCCTCCCCCTCCCTCTCTCCCGGTTAAAAGTTTCGCACCAAAGAAGGGAGCCGACCCCCGACCCACCAAACGTAAAATTATATATATACACAAAAAATTAATGACTTAAACGCACGTGATTAATTTAATGTATCAATTAAATTAGGTGTCAACTAAATTGTATGCTGTAAGATCATAATAGACACCACCCTATTACTACCTTTATGATGGGAAAGTTGTGCAAGGCCCCTAGAGCCCAAACCCTCTGGGATTCAACACTCGGGAAAGTCAGAGAGATAAAAGTTGTTTAAGTGTACCTATATAACGAAAGTGATGTGCATAAAAAAAGGCTACGAGGGCAAAACGAGACTTAGGAAAAGAAAAGTGTTTT